AGCATCAACAAGAGGACCGGAGATCGTTCTTCCGCCAAGACAACAAGTAGTGACGGATTGGGCGTGGGTTCTTGTATTTCAAGGACTGTGCAACGACAAGTCCTGAACAAGTGCTTGGAAAAAAAAACATGAATACGTGTAAAGCTTTCAAAGGCAAGTTCCAACTATAGATTTCTGATCAGGCGTCGAATAACGCTTGAGACTCATTGGGAAACGAAATACGTGGAAGTGGAATCCGTGGGACCGCTTCGTGTAAAAAAAAAAGGCTCGTGATGATTGCACCAGCTACTATACTGTGGCTATACGAAGGAGAGTACAGTACAGACATCGTTGACTTTTTCGGGGGGATATCGCGAAGACCCATTCTGCCATTGTACGTTCAATGTTGATAAAATAAAGGAGAATCGCTTGTTCAAATCAGGATTTCGTTTGATGCGTTGTGTTAATTATTTCAGGTCGAATTTCAGTCCGGGGACAATAATGAATAAGAATAAACAATACGTTGACATAGAAAACCATCAGGTCGACGACACTTGTTAACAAAGATCCTCTGCCGTTGTGTGGCGGCAATTTTTCCATGAGCGAATTATTTCGCTGATCTCCAGGTTCGCGGTCAAAAGATTGGCCTCACTGATCAAATACCCGCCCATTTGTTCCATAAAAGCGAAAGCACTGTCCATTTCCGACATGACCATGAAAGGATTTTCGTCGCGTGCCAAATATTCAACTGAATTCGGTTCACTGATTGCGCGTTTAAAAAAAAACGTTTTACCTCGTAGAAAAATTTTTAATAATATTTTTAAAAATCACAAACTTTTTGTATTCCACGTTGGCCTTCTTGAGTTGCTCTCGAATGATTGGATACAGCGGGCAACCAGGAGACAATTCCCCAACTGCCTGCTTTGTCAAAACCACAGCTGGCTTAATCACCCTCTGGGATTTATGCCAAACTTCTATGATTGGTGCAACCTGAAATCAATAGGAGGGAATGCAGGCGGATAATTCATGAATCCCGAAAAATGTTACTTACTACTTGGTCGGTGATTTCGGCCAATGCCATAATCCGTTCTTTGTACTCATTGTACATGTCGGACTTTTGGCTCGCGAGGCCTTTGCAATACCTCATGAAAGAGGTTGACTGAAAATCAATTTGAAAAAATATTTGCTTCGAAATGTACGCAAATATTTAACTTGACGGCTTACCAATCCGCCGTCAACCAGCATTTTTTTCGCTTTATTGATCACGTCAGACTCCGCGATTCCAGCGACCACAATCGAATTGATTTCCTGCATCATTGTCTCGCACTTGAATATCTCAAATTGTTCGTCGTTTATTTTCTCGTGGAGCTGTGAAATTTAAGTATGAGACAATATACCACAAAATCACTATCTGAATTATTACGCAAAAAAAGCACATAAAGAGTCCTCACTTCAGCAATTGCCGTATACAAAGACCTCCGTACAGGTGATACTTCCTTCTGGGAAAAAACCTTGGTGAGGATGTGCAATTGCCTGTCTTGGAATTGGGACCGATCACCGCTAAGTTCCGTTATCGCGATTTGGCACTCGTCAGCCATGCTGTTGTAAGCTTCCTATACATAAATGCAAAACGGACATCGGAAAATTCATCAGTAAACGATAGCCCCGAACAAAAACGTCGCGCGCTTTAAATGCATGAATTGCGATCAATGAAGTATGCTCAGCAGATGGAAGCACAACCCAAAAATAGGTTTTGTTAAAATGAGTTTGTACGCCTTTTTTTGGTGGATTCGCCTGAAATAATCCACCTCACTGAGAGATCCAACGACAAACTTGATTTGTTTTCATATTTTTAGAAAGCTGTTCGGGTTGAGACTGCAGATCACAGCAGCTGAGCTTCCAAACATACCCCAAATCCATATCTTAACAATTAATACTTAATGTGCAAGTGAGAAGCGTATTTGTGTTACATCATGACTAAAAATAAGAGCTAAATTTTCTTAATGTCTAGATAAAACATTTATATCCATATTAAATTCAGTATATGTATACAAGTTAAACCTCAATAAATCAAAACTCCCTGATTCGAATACATATTCCCATTTCGGTTTTTTTTTTTTTTAGTCCCCAACTGAATCTCCTTAGAAACAATGCATTTATAATAACTCAAAAGGCTTTCCCCTTACAACCTAGCTCCATTGCTCGAATTTTCTCAAGGTTTTTTTGGCTACTATTTTATTGACACAGGAAAGAGAAAAGCAATTGAAATGTAACTATATATGCATTTTGAAAATAAGTTGAAGACTGCTTGGAAAAATGAACCCTTGCCTCCAAATTGAGTATCATATATCCTGTATAATCCTGTCAACTCATTCAAAAAACAATGCAAGGCTCAGAATACCACCAATCACAATACAGTATTCTCTTATTCTTTCTTTCCCCCTCACAAAAATGATTGCTTTCCCAATGGTATGGAAACCTATCATCTATAACTACAGTATTTTTCTCCTGGTCCCTTGCAGTTTGACTTGTAGGGGTTCGATTGTAGGAGCTGTGGTGTAACGCCAATCAATCTACACGACGGGGTCCATCACTCACACAAAGTTTGTTTCGTTGAAGAATGAGTCGGTTTCGTTTTTCGGCTGACTCTGTCCATAGACCTGCAGCTTCTTCCTTTGTTACAAGTCCACCAGCAGCAGCGTCCTGGATCATTGCCTCTTCCACTGGGTCCATCATACGAGGACTATATGTATATAGCCCATGCTTAATTAAGTCAATGACCTTGTTTCAGATGCAAAAAAAAACGTACATCTTATTTCGAAAAGCGAACACAGCCTTCTTGTTCAGCACCCATCGCTCGTAAGAAGAAATGAGCTTCGGCTTATCGAGCATGTAGTCGACATGCGTCACCAGTCCGGGTCCGGTGGCCACTTGACCTATTACAGAACACGATTTCACTTTTAATATATTTCTGTATGGAATGAGGTGTCGGGGAAGTTCCAAAGATCATACTAACCAGGACCAGTGGCCAAAGCGACAGTTTTCTCCAAGGCAATCCCTTGTTGCATCTCCTCGTAAATCTCAGGAGAGACTTCTCCGTCACGTTGTCGGATTGCTGCAGCCACAGCAACTTCGTAAGCTTTCGCATACCGAGCTTCTTGTATGATCCGGGCGTAGGAATGGGTTTTCGCAACATCCCGTACATCATCCGCTAACTCTTTCCTAATAACACAAGAAAACACGAGAAAAAGGAAGAAACTGCGTATCCACAATCCACAGAATCTTCGACGTAATTATACGAGGTAATGCACAAACCAATTTTTACGAACTCCAACTCCTTCCAGTTCGTTGTATCGTAAGAGCAGTTCGCTGATTCCGCCACTTTCCGGTGGAGCAGTAGGCGGGGGAGGTTCGTAGCACTCCAACCTCGCCATTTTATCAATATCTTTGTACACCTATGTTAATCCACTGAACTTTAAACAAGCTCAAAATTTGCCTAGGAGATTAACGTAGTTGATAAAAGGAAATGCTTTCACAGACCAATTCCCACTGACACGATACACTGACGATGGACGAAAGTTGGACAAGTTTTGCCGAAATAAGGATCGATCATTTCAAGAAGGTCGAGTGGGTATGACATTCGAATATTGTTGAACCTGTTAAATGTTCCATTTCCGAAATGAACCTCGGAAATTCTCGGCAATGCGGGGAACATCGTCCTTCGATTTTCTCCGTAATAGGTACTTTCACACGCATCCATCGTGTCTTTTTTTATCGTCGAATATGTGCGAGAAGAAAACAATTCTGTGGGTGATATTTATAAGCAGCGCTGAGTTTTTTTCGGACCATATTTAATCTTGTAATCCTTTGCCTTTCCACGAAATCCCTCTACTATATTGTTAAGCATTCAAAATTTAAGTCGTAGTTATTTAATCCGATTGCGCACAAGATATATACCAATAATTTAAAGCATTACTTCCTGCAAACAATGCGAAATAATTTGTTCTCATACTTAAGAAATGGAATCAATGGCATGTTTCGGGGACGAGGGAATTGCGCGATGCGGCGATCTGCCGATAGGAAAGGTCCTAATCAGACGCAATCGCCGGTTGTTCAAGATTACGAATCGATTCAGAAAATGGATGACTCAGACTTAGTAGGCAATACAGTGAAGTTTTCTAATGGAAGAGGAACGAATCTTATTCAGACGGCAAAAGCGCAGCTTATACCTTCAGGAAAAATACCAGCAGCTTGTTTGCAGAATTGCGAGCCTTGTTCCAATGCAGCACTGCAGCTTTCACAGCTACGTAACAACGGTCAGCGTTTCGCTGGAATTGTATAACTTCGAAAAAGCTGCGTAAACACAGCGTTTATAAACTTCAACTTGCATTACATTTTTCCAAGTCCTCACTAATGTATGATCAATGAACGCATGTGAATTGTTTTCGCACATATTTTGTAGGCGTAACGCTTCATCCATCATCAACCTCGGGAAACAAACAGAAGCTTTCAGAGTACGAGGGCCAACGTTCACTCGGTTTTTACCTCAGTAAAAGTGATAACCCCATACTTCAGCAGTTTCAAGACGATCCCAATCTTCAAAACTCAGGGTATGCACATCATTCTTTCTTTTCTTTTTTTTCTTATTATGGTGGATCAATCTTGAAACAGGAGAATGGCGAATGAATCTAATTCAGGACTTGGAAAGCTGGACATAAAGCCGACAACGCGAAAGGAACTTCTCACAAAAATTGTACTTCCTGCTGAGGGCGACGAACTTCTCAGCAGCATAACATTGAGATTCACACCAAGCAAGCAAAACTTCAAGACCTTGTCTGATACTCATCTCAAAAGAAAGAGCAGTCCAGTGGCTGCGATTTGCACGCAAGGATCCGCCTCTGATTCATCACGACTACTCTGTACTCAGTCTCAAATTATGGAAATGATTGACAGTATCATGGCCGAAAAGGCAGAGGGTTCGAAGAATTCAGACGCCGTGAGCGACGAAGAAGATAATGTGGTGAAGTATCTGCTGTGTCACGTAGCAACATATATAATTGACGTAATGCTTGAACAGCAGGATAGTGATAATCAACTTTTTCAAAGGTACTTGAGTCGCGACCATGCAAACCTGTGTGGTACGGTGGGGGTACTGGCAGCTGCATTGGCATGAAGAAAAAGGCCAAGCGAAGACAAGCCCGCACAATAACACCGTCATTCACGACGATGAGAACAAAAAGCGAGCACGGCCACGGAAAGGTAGGACTTCAAGCTTCCATCAACAGCACTATCGGTAATCATTCAGCGGATGAGGCTCCGGAACGAAATCCGATCATGAAGGAACGACTGAGTTTCTTCATGGACTTAGGGAAACATGTTGGAAAAGTTTCCTTCGCTGATTCCGTGGATCTCTACAAAGCGCTGCTCAAAATAAATCAAAACGAGTTCCCCAAAATTGATTGGTCCTCGAAAGAAGACATAGCGAATGTCCAAAGGCTTTTGAGGAAACGTGGTCGTTCAAGGTTAGAGTTGAACGATATTTTTCTATAGAGTTGTCCTAAAACATAAAAAATATATATGCGCTAGAAATAAATCCGACGATAGTGACGCTGCACCATCAGATCATCGCAGAGGACATTCCGAGAGGAAGAGGAGGGACAAGAATGTGAAATCCAAGCCCAGGAAGCGCGTCAAATTTAGTTCCGGAGAAATTTCCTCCTGTTCGAAGGCATCAAAAATGACCGTGTACCCATCCACAACATCGCCAACTGATGCTGATGAAAAGCCACAGTCATCCACAACAAATCTCACGGCTGCATCAGACACATCTAATTCTACTGAATCAGTACTACAGCCGCAGCCCGCCCTTAATAACGCGGAAATGATGCTGATGCATGATGCAAAAGACGAAAGTGGCAACGCGACAAAAGAAAACAATTCAGCCCAGTCCTTTCGTGAGAACGAAAGTCCTGCTGATAGCTCAGAATTCACCCAAGAACAGACATTGAAAGGACTTCGGAAGCAAGTGAAGTTTGCCGAACCGATCTCGACCATACATCTCATTGACCGTCCAGAGGCTGATACTGAACGCTTCAAGTGCTCTCAGCTCACTAATTCAAAATTTTCAATTCGCGGATGTGAAACTCATCATTGCACCACGCATAAGTGTAATCATGGCACGACTATAACCACCTGGCAACATCGTTGCTCAATGATGCCTACATCATGCGTCACCCCTGCTGGAAGTCGGCCATACTGCGACAATGAGGCGCAATGTAGAGAGGATGATGGAATACCGACCATCTGCGCGATGAAATCAGCCATGCAATGGCCGGCCCACCATTCACCATGACCTGTAACCGAGAAATGCACGCTATTTCTGCTTCGCAGCTGTTCCTGAAGAAACAATATGTTGTTCTGCGCTTAGGATTGACGTCTGATGGTAGAGAGATCTACGATTATTTGACGCCGCATGGTGTCGGTTACTATTATGCTTGAAAATCAAAATTGCATTTTCAACCTTCCTGTGAAATTTTCATTTTCGTTTCGTTTGTCATTTACCGGTATAATACAGAAACGCATGAAATATGTCTGGCAACGCATAGTAATAAACACAACTATACATATATGGACATCCAGCGTTTTATTGTCATCCGTTCACAACGAAACAATTTCCTTGAATGATTTAACGCGGCCTTGAAACTGCATTGACAAAATCCATCCGTGCCACCACACCCAAAAACTACCATTTTCACTTCTCTAAATTTTTGTGACAACTATATTTAGACTGAGCCATTTCCAGCCAGAAGCATTCACAACGAAAATTGATTTTGGCGAAAATTCGTTGATGGTAGAGAACGATTTACCTACGTTAGAGCTATGATCGCGCAAATAAGTTCAGGGATCGAAACGTTAACAAAATCAATCTAAATGTTTCGAATATTTTGCCGGAAGCTCGGTAGATAGAGCTTTGGGGAATTTAGAACATTCGCGGAGATTTGGAATTGACATTAATTTCGAAGCTCGTCGAGCCACTATTCTCCGGATCTTCTTCGAAAGAAAGTTTCTATAACGCACACGCGAGGAGCGCACATCACCGGATCTTCCTCCAAATCTTCGTCATCCAAAAACACGAATGCATGCTATACGACGCGAACTGTAAACAATTCTCTAATTCAAGCCTTCCATTCCAGCATTCGCCGTCTAAATGCCAACTGGGAAAAAAATTGTGACAAGCGCAACGTCGCTTAGCTCCTATACCCCTTGGAAGAGAATGATGCGCAAGAAGCCTTTGAAACAACTTTTTTTCCATTCGCAGAAAATACGCCTGTACACATAAACTCATCAGACAGTTTTTCCAACAGGTCATTGGGACGACCTTTCTTTCACAGCACGTGCATGTTTCCTTGGCTAAGGAAAATCCGTTCTCTCCCGTTCATTCACAGGAACAAAAAGGGGAAGGGAGAGAAACTGAAGATGCATGAAACACATGTGCGAATATGAACGTTCAATAGAACTGCACGCAATGCAAAATCGAGCGCTTGCAAGTAGATTCGAAGTCTTGCAGAAGGTCGTCGATATCGTTGTCCAAGTCGTCACACGACGCCATCTATAAAATAGAGATGAAATGCAACCTTAGTACTTGGAAGATGTCGCTACTTCTAAACGCTGTGCAATGAAAATTATCGCGAATAACCGATCAGCGAAGATCGTAATGAATCAACTCCTTTCTTAATAATACACATAAATTTGGCGTCATCGTTTAGAGAAAGTTCATTTTGGAGCTTGAAGAATACGAATTTTTACGTATACTAACCAGATCCACAAGATCTCGGATCAGGAAGGCGCCGATCGTCGCCTCCTCGTGATTATCTTCCACATCAATGTTGATAACATGAACTGGTGTGCATCCTTTCTTCTCTCGGCTCTCCATGACTGTAATAAGAAGTTAAACGTGTCACAAAGATGTTAACGATGGGCATGATACTCGTTACTTTACTATGAGAGGTTTTCATTCTCTCACCAAGATGGATACACGATATTTAAAATATTACTTTGCACGGGAAAAGGCTACATTTAGACCATTTCAACTCTCGTGTGAATTATAACCCAAAGAGCATGGAAATTGGAAATAAGTACAGGTATATATAAGGATTTAAGGAATTCTTCCAGCTCAACAAATAAAAGTACTGTGCAAGCGCTTTCCGGGTACCGTAAATTGACACTTATTGTTTCATAAAAATGTTACATTGAACCCAAAGAATGTTTGTGCAACACAATGACATTGCTCTAGCGCACACAACATAAATCCAAAAGCAGCAGGTTTAGATCCTGTTCCAAGTCTTAGAACTTGGGGCTGACAGAGACATCTACCAAGAATCCTCTGCCAGTGACATCTATTAAGCAACTCATCAAGAGACGAGATTTCGAGTTCATTATTTGTATTATTAATTTCTAATCGCGCAGCAACATTTTACAGTTGAAAAATTTTATAATAAATCAAGAGTTGAAAACATAAGCTTGATCGGTTGAAACGGAGTCGACATAGGACTCGACTCAGGTTTTCCCATCAAAAGACTAAACTCACATTCCACAACGTGATCGAAAACGCGCTCCTCGACAGTGAAAATCACGTCGAACTCGTCCTCGGTGAGCTGGAATTTTTCAGGGTGGTCCTTCAGTCTTCTATTCCTATCCAGCATGTTCAGCAAACCGTTTTGAGTATACCTATATTGCCGTCGAAAAGACCGAAATTGCACACGACGGTCAGCGAAAGGGATGATTTGCAAGGGATGAAAGTAGACTCTTAAACGCATTTGATCAAAGAATTTATTCCGTGGTTCGAACACCGAAGCCGACGAGAACAGCCAACGTACATGTTCGGATCTTTCGATTTAAGATCTTTGTATATCTTGTCGTACGGCGTGCCGAATTCATACACGTTCGGCTTGTCGATGGATGGACCAGGGAGTTTTACCTTGTCTCCGGTACCGTAAGACTTCACCTTGTATCCTTGTTTGCTGATGAGAAACAATAAGAAATGTAATCATCAATTCCAAAAAGATTTTGCATCTAATTTCACGAGAAAACATATACTGTACTGCACTCTCACACTTCTCAATTTTGAAATTTGACTTTCCCTGTTTGCGCTTCTACGTTGAAGGATTTGAAATTCTCAGACTCATAGAAAGCGATCAAATGCATGGACAATAACATTTTCTTTCACTGATTGACAGTTTTACGTTCAATCAGTCAAGCAAATGAAGCCAAAACGTGAGAAAAACAACACATGTTTAAAAATTTTAGATTAATCGTACAAACCTCAAAAAAGAATGTGCTTCCATGCTTCTGTTCATGTTGCTAGCACATACAACGGCTATTCTCAGTTCATGGCCCATTTTCGCGGAAAGTCCTACACAGATACTATCACACCTTACAATGGCGTCTGCACGGCTTCTAAGTGAATAAATCTGTGAAGATACAGAACTCGTCAATAGGTGTCGCAAGCTGTCATGGGAATGACCGTCTATCCAAATCGTGCTTTCCCACTATGCTTGATGAAATGAACCACATTCACCGACTCCTGAAAATTAGTGGAAGCATTGTCATTGAACAAACAAATGTTACACAGTATCATGCAGCGCAGCACATAAGAATGACATATGATTTCCTCGGGATGAATGTCTGCTTGCACAATCAAAAATGCGCGATAACATTGCCAAGTAAAACAGCGAACATACAGCAGATTTCAGTATTGATTATACAGTAATCGCCACAATTGGAAAATTGTTTGTGACGTATAACACCTCTATGTGACATTCTTCAGAAGTTTGGACAACACCATCCATCAAATGAAACCCACTTGATCCGAGAATTTTCCACGCTTTCGCCAGATCACCACTTTCCAAGCATAAATAAAACTTCTCGGATACTATGCCTTCCATAAAAATTGAAGGAGTTTTCCTGGATCAATAAAGCAGAGCGAATCGACTCCTCGCAAGAGATTCAGGACGTCAAATTTACTCGCTCTCAACCATAGATGTCTCTCCTGTTCGTCGGGTGCGCACGCTATCAGCCAATGGACACTGATGATTTTACAAACCTGGAATACCAAATTACCACTCGTGAAGATCACAGCGCGCCGAAACATAGGCAAAATTAGAATATGGCTCAAAAATTTTACACTGCATCGAGTCTCCCAGACTCAATTATGTTTTCTTGAGACAGCCACCACTAAAAAAATGTTATCCATCAATGCCTCATCGACTTCGACATCATTTAGCTTTAAAATCCACAGAAAAACATGAAACATTGTTTTTGAAATTCATGCAGGATGTTCAATCAAAAGAATATCAGTGCAGTTTCGAACATTTCCACAAGCAGCCCAAATTTAAAATTTTAAAGAAACGAAGTGAAGCTGACGTTTTCCATCAGCACGCGCTGATCTATCCTGAACTGAACCTTCGGTCTTTCAAACGTTCTCGTTCAAACGTTTTAGAGTTTCATCGATCACCACAATCAAACATTTGGCATAAAACAACTCACTCAATGTGTGTTTTCTTCAGCTTTGGAAAAGAAACAGACATGCACCAAAAATAAACGCAGTTCATTTAATACAGAGGTAAACGACATACACCAAACATGGCATATGAGGTTAACCTCATCCAGTATGAAAATCTTTTCGACATCTTCAAGAGCAGCCTTCAGAGATAGCTTGTAAGTTTCTCATGAAAAAATGAACAACAAAAATAATTTGTTAGCAGCTATACAGTACCTCGGTCATTGGCCCAACCTCCATTTCATCGATTTAGACGGCGGTCCGAAAAAAAGCAAAAAAGTTGAAATCACAAGTTTACAACCTCTTCCTTCGCCATTCGCATGTAAACCGGACCTAAGTGCACAAATTGTGCGGAACTACTTTGTACAATTAATTTTCAACGATACACACTATCCGTGGCAATGATCAAGCACTGTAATGTAAATAAAACAGTTTAAAAATTATGATACAGTAATTTTATTTGCAGCGCAGTGCAAGTACCCAAGCTTCATTTGGGCAGCACACAATATTGTTATTGAGGTCTTGTTCAATAACCGTTCAATTGCCCAGACGCAATCAACTAGATCAGAGCTTGAATATTCAACGTTTGATGAACCAAGCATTCAATTATTACACTCATCAAATTTCAGCTCATTTATTGGTTTTAAAGCGGGCCGGGTTTCCCATGTGAGAGGAAAATTTCCGAAAAATTAATATTTTCCACGAAACTTCGCGGCTTTTGAATTGTTGGCAAAATTTAATAGAATTTTTTCGATAATTGGTTATAAAGTATTTAAGTTTTACCTGGACAGAGGAACCTGTTCATTATCACGGATAATCAAAATTATTCCATATTCAACGAATTTTTGGTTGAACTTTTGGTTCTCAAAAGAGATCCCGAGGTAATTTGACGTTCCAAGAAGAAAAAGTAATTGGACAAAAGATCGGCCTACGGTGCATCAGCGCTTGATTCCATTGTACAAAATCAAAACTCCCGAAGAAATTCCGATGATTTCTTAAGGGATTTAGTCATTAAAAAAGTTTAAAATTCGCTTTAAGCATTTTCTAATCGAAACGTTTTTAGGGCACTCGTCAACCTTCAATTTCGCAGCTCATATTCGGATTCCGAAAAGCTTCTTTTAAAATGCATCGGACGGAGACTGTCGCGTTCATGGCATTGGGACACCACTTTTGATATGGGAAGCAGCATCCATCAGCACCGTTCGCATCTCCTGTTGCTTTCCCTCTCCATCGGAACAGCAGATCTCCACGACCTACTCCTATAAACGGCGGATAAATTTACAGACCCAGCCAGGTGATTTTCGCATTTAAAATTGCATTTCATTTCAAAAATATTTGAAGACATGTTGGTACGCTGAACTTTCAAAAGCTCTGGCTAAGAGTATATGAATATGTTTTGAAAAAACCTTAATATTGAGCCTGACGAAAGATTAAGGACTCGCATTTTTTAAAATTCAGTACTACTGTATAATGCCTAGCTAGAACAGTAGTAGACTATAAAATACAGTCGTTCCCTAGGTTTCCAGAACAATGCGCAAAGAACCTCCAGACACGAGAAGTACAATGACGAAGGCAGTGGAGCATCCGCCATACACAACTTGGTTCGGGAATTCCGGTCGCATTTTGATCTGGCAAAAATATGAACAAAAAACTAAAGCTAAGATCAAATGCAACTTCCATTGGAGTACTGTACAGAATAATCAAAGCTTGCGGAAAAATTATAGTAGATAAAAATAACCTTCAACGTGGTGCGCATCTATTTCATTTGTATTTCACTTCTTCTCAACAATCTCCATGCGCACCACGTTTAAGGTTATTTTTTGCTTTTTGAAAATGTGGTTTTTTAGATTAATTTTTTAATCTACTATAATTATTTTTTTCTTTTTAAAAAATATTCTTAAAATTTATTTTTTCACAAAAGATTGCATTGTCATCAGTTTCTAGGCTATCCTGAAAGTTTCAGCTTGATAGCTAGTCGGGAAGTGAGTGAAATTTGAGTTTCAAAATTTGACCCGGACAAACAGACAGACAGACAGACAAGAAAGTGAGTTCATAAAAATGTGGTAATAAAATATGCTCAATTGGGTCACCATGACAAATAGGAAGAAAGGGGCGGACAAAAATTGAATGGCCAAATTCCAATGATTAAAAAATGTACAACATGTTTATTTTTGTGAAAAACAAAAAGCATTTGCAAGGGATTCCTTGACTTTACTAAGAATGTATTCTTAACCATAACCAAACTAACTGAAAATATGCAACAGAAGAGGCGCAGACAGCCAACATGGACCCCCAAGTTTACAGTCACAATGAAAACATAATTTAAATCCCAGCAGCCATACACAAGGAATAATAATTTATGGCTTCATTTCCTATCAACAATATATCTGTATCATATAGAAGAATCAGCCACTAAACTGAAAATGCAGTAGTATATGATTGGTTGGTCCTGGAAGTGATCTACAGTTTTTCACTGATCCCATAATTCTGCAGAATGAGCAGTCGGTTAAAAATTGGGAAGAGTTTCGAAAATTTCCAGTCCAAGTTTGCTTTGAATTGTTCGGAAACAAATTCACGCCACAGGCCGTGGTGAAACATTAATGAGGTGTTCACAACTTAATCCTGCGATGTGATCAGTAAATAACTAGCATTGATCAGGAGCATTTTATGTTTTTGTTTTAAACTTATTCGAATGCGTTAGTTCACTTGGAATGATTAACGTTTATATCTAGAAGTTAATCATTTTCACTCAAATGTATTTCATTAAATAAAAAGATATTCCACAAACCATTTTACGAATTGCACTCCAGGTGCTCTCAACAGGTTTTTAAGTTAGATACTGAAAAGAGGAGTCGGCATTCTTTACCTGCAATCCATCAAGATATCCTTGGCTTTAACATTGTCAAACTTGAATTCGTTGCACAGAAATCTTTCAATTTTTCATGGCAGTATTGTTTCAACGATGAAATAATTTCAACTGTACAGTATATGCTTTAAGATAATTTGAAATGTGCATCACATAAGTAATTCAGCACTCCAACTTCTTTAATTATTTTAGTCAGCTCAGACTATTTAGAGTTTTCTGAACATTTTCAAAGTACTGTATTACTGAAATTGCTTTTTAGCAACAAAGATTTCTCTGATAAAATCCGCAAATACCGAACAATATAAAACAGCCTGTAACTTCATTAAATTGCAGCATATTGAATTTATAAAATATTGCATTGGCTTTTGAAAATTTGTTCATGATTTTCTGGACCTCCCCGGGTAAAAGAGGGGGGGGGGGGTTCCGGGGAACTTCCTCCCATTTTCCATTCCTATTTGATGTTTCAAATTTTGCTCTGTACCTAAAATGATATAGTTTTAAATGAAAGTACTGTACGTCATGACTTTGGGAACTCAAATGGGATCACCGAACTTGTGAATAAGGACAAATAATCATTGTAACGGAGCGCAAAAATTATTGGTGCGCATACAGTACACTATACAGTATTTAAATTTTGCTGTCTTGCATAAACTAACGTTTCTCAAGAAATCTTACCTTTCAGGAAAAATCCCATTGCCCTCACTATCATTTACTGAGCGCTTAAATAAACTTTTTTTTTAAATCGCTATTATTTTTTCGGCTCATATCCCCCGGAGTGAAATAAGAGTTTTAGTCAAGAATGGCTAACACTTGATGAACTTTCACGTTTTTATTTCTCCATAAAACTAATTTATGGATTGATGGTGAAAGAAAAAGACGTATAATGTAGATATATTCTTTAAAATCTTCACAAAACAGGAAGTGAACCTTTTCGTCGGGGTTCAAATGCACTCCTTGAATATAATTGATCTCAATTTTTCAAGTACAATTCAGCCTCAAGGACTGCAATTCCACTTGAATAGTTAATCACACTGTAATATATCACCCCCACCCCTTAACATATAGTCTTCATCCGACACTTCACAAATTTCTTTCAAGAGAATTAAATCCAGATTTGATACCTTTCTCAATAGACGCTAAGTCTCGAAAATAATGCTGAAATAATTCGCAGTAATCAAACTTAATTTCGCTTTTGATCAGTTCCCCAAGTCAATACTCAAACTTTGGAAATGTGTAATTGAGATCCGAAGAAGTCCCTTTCCCAACAAATGTGGAATGCTCATTTCCTGCGTTCACTCCTGCATCACGCACGAAAATTTTCGAATTTCAGCAGAATTTTCTTACGTTTCTCATTTTATTGATTTTCTTCATATTCTTGTGTACATGTTACGAAGGGCAGGTGATGCATAAGAAAATTGATGAACCCAAAATAATTTTTTCAATGATCTACAGCTCTAGCGACAAGTTTTTTGAGAGAACTTGTAGGTGAAAAAAGAGGGCTAAGTTTGATAATTCTTTTACGAAGACTAGGACAAGATTTGTGAAGCTCCCGCGTTCAGATGAATCTGAACGTAGGAGGTTCTTGTCCACGCGAGAAATGACGATGACATCACAGCAAATAAAGCATACAACAAGGAAATAATAAAAGACCACATTATTGCGGCTTCCATTTCCCAAGATGGCAATACGCATTTTGAACGTCATCCGCATCTCAGGCAAGATTTTTCTTCGTAAGAAACCGGAGCATAACATACCATATGAGCGTCATGAAGAAGCGCCTGAAACTCGTGGAAATCCATGACATCAGACATACTAACCCCATTGATACCTTTCAAGCATTCAAGACAAAATGGCGCTTCAAAAAAGTTTGCTTCTAAGGCACCACAAGTTAAACGATAGGCAATGATGTGCATCGGATCCGATTCACGTCTTCCTCGCTGATGTCAAAAAGAAGTCTCCATCCCGATGAATCTGAAGCATTTTTGGTTTGATAGAATGTTACAGGAACGCAAATATCCATTCCGTAAGAATGTGAATCCCAGCAAAGATCTTCGACGGCTCGCAACAGTTCTGTCAGGGAGGGCCTGAAGTCCAGCTAAAATCTTCTGAATTCGGCAACACCCGAACCCAAGAAAGTTAATCTCGTTAGCGACTTCAAAAAAGAGAGCAATACTTAGTCCCCATCGAAAGGAGTGTTGTTGCTTGCAATCGTCGCATTGCATAGCACGCTATCATCGCGAAGAAAAATAAATACTTTAAGTCCATATTTGGCAAGATGAATTAGTATCTGCACAACGCACTTGCACGAGGATTGCGAAATCAGCCCTGCAATAGGTAATGCAACATAATCGTGAATGGCTCAATGAGCGCAACGTTTAAATGAAACAAGAACGGAAGGAAACGCTCGCGTTAAATTTTATTCGCCAGTTTCAAAGCGATCGCGAAGGCATGAATACATTCTCTGTATTACTCACAACTGAAAAATTTCCGCAACTTCAAATCGTCATTTCAAGTACCTACACGGGTTGGTAAAAGGCAAACTTATGTTGAAAAAAGTTCATTTTAATGCAGAACAAGCTAATTAAACGAGTGCGGTACTAAAAAAGGGGACTCACTGACCCGACATTCCTATAGAAACTCAATGATTATCGAGGTTGTTTTCCATCAACACACGTTTTCCAGCTACGATATTCACCCATATCACATCTTGATTCAGCATAAATAAAAACCGTAAGGCATACCGGAAATCAACTCATTCATATCACGATTGTTTCTTCGAAAAAAATAGCAGTCCCAACCATATCCTTCAACGCTGGTTCAAGGGATTCCGGACTATATGGGGAATTGCTCCTAAAAACATCTAGGCAGATCCAAGGAAATCATGCAAAATTGAGCCTAAAGCTAACCAAACCTTCCACACGAGTAGGCTCAAAAATCACGACGATGACGAGATAGTTCAACCAAGAGCGACAAACCGAACGGCGGCATCCAATTCAAAATAGTTCATTCGAGAAAGAAACGTGGACACGAGCAAAAAATCGTTTTGCAAAATTTCGTCATCGGTATGCAAATTGCCGTCTCGAGCCTCCCAAATAACTTTCGTCGTCATATCGATTATCCACGACATCTGGAAAAATTCAGAACGATGACGTAAGAAAAAAATTTCAGGATCCTCAAAACCATCACATGTGAAAAATTCAGCGTACACGGTACTTCATTCTACACAGGTTTCATTGAGAGAGGTTCCTCAAAAGAATTACCAGCATTAAACGCCTATGCGGGCGGTGGATATGAACGGAAATTTCTAAACGCGGCGAAATCATGCTCAGTATCTAAATAAACATTCAGGTGACATGATATTACTAACAAAATAAAATAAATGTTCAGAATAAGCGAGGCATACCATGGAAACGTTTAGTCCTTCACCGTCAGCTTTCCCGCCAAGCCAAGACTTTGGACCCCACATGAGAATATGGCAAACGTTGGCCGCAACAGCAGCACTAATTCTCTGATATTGAGAATTAAGAAATGACATTAGTGGAAATAGGCAAAAATGGACCGATTTTAAACTTACCTCCCTGAAATTCCGAGAAAGCATGCTTTTTACCAGACGCTGCATGACAGCAGAGTTGACAGTTAGGCTTGGCAAATCTTCTTCGTGGTAACTAGCACTATCCAAAGGATTTTCGCAGTTGAAGGGATTCCCGGTGCCAAAAATTTCGTAAGCAACAGCTCCAGCAGCCCAAACATCAGCTTTCGAATAATCAATCTTCGTTAACAAACCCGGCACAGCGTTCACAACCTACAAGACGCCAGAGAGATTCGTCAACAACCAAAACAGCTTATTTACCAAAAAGCGTTATACCTCAGGTGCCATTAAAGCTCGGTTTCCCCCTCTATCAGTATCGTAGGTGCAGAAGGGAAGGGCCATTTTCAAGCTGGGATCGTCCAAGCAGCACCCAAAATCCGACAGGACGACTTGCGGACGCTGACTCACGTTACCAACCCCAAGAATCACAAGGATGTTATCGCTCTTCAAATCCCTACAAATCAAGAATTTGCATGAACAGGATTTTTTTGAACGGGTTACAATCGCAAATGTAGGAATTTGTTGATAAATGGATTATGCTAAGCGTCAACTTGGAATTGTTTACATGGAATCGTGGAATACGCACCTATGCGCAATACTGTGATACCCCAGGTGAGTGATTCCCTCCAAAATCTGAGCCAGAATCCCAATTTTTGTATCAACGGTAAGTTGGTTGTTGCATCGATGCAAATATTCTTGCAAGGACATGTCATAACGTTTCATGACGAGAAACATCGACATATTTCTTCCCAATCCCCCGGTGTTCAAACGTGACGGCAAAGCCGCTCCGTAGTGCTCTTTGCTCCCCGGAAATGCGTCTACTGTGTCAACAAATGCATTGTAGTACAAGGCGATGTTTGGATGAGGAGGCAAACAACCAGTCGTTCTGTTCCAATGGTCTCTCCTACGAAGATTTGACGCAAAATGGCACAATTCGCGTGTCAGCAATAGATCATCACACGAAAATCCCGTGAGAGACTTTTGAAGAGAGTAAACAAGAAAATGGTTTGAGAGTTTAGCTACTATCAATAATGTATTAACAATGGTTGAAGGTATCAATAACCAAACAAGAACTTGATTTGAAACCTCATGAATGCGTCTTGAGATTGACATTCAGCTGAAAATCTCAGATTTAATTGATAAAAAGCTTAGTTTAAATTTTAATTCGGCTCACTGACCCCTGTCCAATTAGACCCCAATCCTAAAAAAAAGCAACATACCCAAAAGTGCCTTCAAGACAAACGGACAAGCACGGCACGGTTTCTCTCCTCATTGAACGCATGATGATTGCAGCATCCGATAAAATGTCATAATTGAACATTACTTTTACAGCTAATGGGAAATTTGTCCTCTCCCCTTCAACTTCGGCGATTGGTGATGGCGACATGAGCGAAGAATAATTAGATGTCGATCCTCGACGCAAACGTTTTGTACACGGGCCTTCTTCTACTTCACCGAAGAGCCCACTCAAATCTGACCAAGAAGCCGCATGAACAGCTGCGTTCGCCCCTTTCCCCAACATCGGGCCAAAAATCAGGTCCGACGCACGAAGATTTACATTCTCCGCTTTTAATTTCTGAACAATGGGATCACTTCGATTGGAATCCCATATCCAAGTGATCTTGCTCACGACATCCTAAATTCAAGAACATAAAAATGAGATTACGCAACAAGTAATCGAGCTCATTGAGAAAGACGTCCTTACCCCCAGTTTATCGCAGAGAACGCGATATTCTTCCTCTTGCGTAAAAATTATTCCGTTCTCATCAGCAGCCAAACCAAGACCTACTAAACCGAGAAACGGAGCACGAGTGAAACCTGGACTGCGAGTCTCGCGAGAATCCCGACTCATCAACCGGCGGGCAACGTGGCGCCGAAATTCACTCGAGAAACTCGATTTCCCGGCATTACTTGCATCGGAGACCAACGTGCTCCGGATGAGCCCATTGACAAATGATGCACGTGCCTGAGACGACCATCCCGAAAAACTTCGCCCAGCGGCCCCCGGAAGAGTCGATCCTGCCTCAGAATTCGTAATGAACGTTCTACAGAACGCTTTCGGCCTACAGGGATAGCATCGAACATTTTTCCGAGTCAGAATTGAGCAAATACGACGTCGAATCAATCCCAATCGGAGATAAACTCAAGACGATATACAGTATTCATTAAAGTCGCAATGAAAGGGCAATCACGTTCATCGTGCCCGTCAATAAATTTTCGAAAATCAACACAACATGCAAACGAAGTACAGTACTGTAATCGATTATATTAGCTTTGACGATATTAAAATTACTCACTTGAAGTGCGAAAAATTGTAGGCCCGTTGAACAACCCACTGACGACCATGCAGGAACAAGTTGGACGCCAAACGGCGAAGCGACATCGCGTCCAATTCGCTCGAAGAATTATGAGCGAGCTTACTACCGAAACTGTACCTCGATCTCAAGATAGCTTTCACATAACAGACGCAATCCCGAAACTGCACCAGAACCATTTGCTAGACTTGACTAAATTTTCCAGGCGGTCCGGAAATTCATAGCGAGAATCTGCGAAAAACGATAGATGAATCAAAAATAAGGTCACGAAGACACAAATGATTCTACAATTACAAAACCGTGCATCGTGTTTATTCGTCGAGCAATTCATTCGCCAAAAAAAATCTTCCGAAAAATAAAAAGAAATCGAGTTACAAACCCCACATTGAGCATCTTGTTCGCAGATGAACGCGGTCTGGAACACTTACAAACAAAATTTGGCCAACAGATTCCACCAACAACCAGATTGGACCCGCAACCTAAAACGCCGTTCCATGAGCAAGAGGACACGATCTCCTCCGCAGCCTCAATTCACTCATATCTTGAACTTTCGAAGACTTTTTGATCACTACATATAATTAAAACGACGTCACCTCCCTCGCCACACAACAGCCTTGACTTAATGCACCCGTTGCCGTCGTGGTGAGACCATAATCTTGTCGCATGCGAACACGGAGCGCCACCGAATCTGAAATGGCACCGCATCCTGAACAGAAAACAAGCTCGCCGAGGTAATTTTCACAACAGATCTTGACGATTCTGATAATCACAAAATCCACTCAAATCCCCAATCACACAAACATGTCATAGACGAATTTTCAACCGCTCATCTTCACAAAATAGTTCGATGCCGCACAGTTCGAATGGCACTAATCTGTTTACCGTATATCCCAGGAACAACTTTCGAAACCACCACGGTACGACAAGCTCAAAAAATTGCATTCGAAAATGTTCTTCTCTCGAGAAAATACTAAAATTTCCGTACCCGAACATGGAAGCAGTTTCTTTTCTTTTTGGCAAATCACACGGGGCATCGAGGAGATGAGGAGACTTCCCGGATTGCTCCTTCAAATTCCGTGGATCAAAGAATAAGCAAGCATACCCTGCCATCACGCAGTCGACCAGATACAATTACATCAAATCGTATAACCGACAAAAAAAATCACGACGAATCGAAGTTAACGCGTGACAATTCAAGAAGCTCACAGCAATGAGGAACAGCACAATTTTTTTCAGGCGGACAGCCAAATGCACGAACAAAATACTGTAAAAAGGATTTTGGTCATATACGATACGGATGATGATGGGCCTTAGTCATCACCCAAGGAAAAATAACGACGCGTAAGTCAGCGCGATATTTCAAAAATAACCGGCCCACTTCTTATCAAAAGATACTTCCGTCGCTCCCCAACGTAGCAGAAAACGGGAGTCCGCGAAATGCAGACTGAGATTCCTTTCGAGATAATCTGATGACCAGTTCAGCCACACAGGTCAGAAGAAATAATCCCTTGCGGAATTAAACCGCAGAACGGCGGAAATAATTCACAGGAAGAACCAAATCTTTGTCAGTAAAACATCCGTCCGCTCGAGCTTCAGTGTTCAATGACCTGAAATTAGGAGATATTCAATACATGAGAAATACAAACCCCATACACTTTCAGAATTACGGATCGAGATCAATTGTCGTGGTGCACGATGGCATCTTTGGTATTTTCATCCCAACGTTGCGGCGCGCATTATTTCGTGAAGCGCGGCTGCTCCTTCCAGTTACTTCGACTTCCGCTTGATCATCTTCACACGGTCCAAAGACGTCCAAGTCAAAACAGAAGGAGTCAAATCTGGGCAACTTTGATGCTTCAACTTCATAATGTTCAAGCTCTTCGATGATTCGGTGCTTCAGCACATCCGTAGATTCTTGTGGCTTCAGTCCGGAAATATCAAGATACGGGTTCTCCGTAACACAGGTCGACGATGAGCTCGGTGATACGACAAACGAAGGATTTGCTGCAACTGGGTCGATTTTCTAACGAGACAAAAAAAGAACGACGTCATAAATCGGCATTCATGACGCACGTATCTGGATATTACTCACCGTTCTACTTCCGTCATCGAAACGCTTTAAATCCACAGAGTTCGACCATAAGTTTTCGGTAAGGTTCGTGCTTCCCTGATTTGTATGGATTTCAAATGTGGCCGGAGGTCTTACTGAAGTATCGAAGTTACTGCGCACGTCAGATGCATCCTTGGGAGCTGAGGAAATACATATTAATGAAAAAAAAACATTTGCACACCAGATCCGAACGCTTGTCTAACCTTTGCTGTTCCTGCTTCTTTTGTAAGTTTTGATAACAACCTTTTTCGGTTCAATATCTTTCAACATGCCAGGTTTTGATCTATGGATCCCTAGCGCTAATGACTTATCCCGTATGAAGGGAAGAAATCTCGGAGACGGAGACCCCGATAGATGTCCAATTACTCGCGCGGTACCTTTCATCCGCAAATTGTTGGGAAGAACTTTCTGTCCATTTGTCAAGCCTTCCGATACAGGGACACTTCCGGTGATCGTAGTGGTAACCGCCGGGCGAATCAATCGATGGATTCTCAGACTTGATGCGTCGCGGTGCAACGCTTGCTGACCCCACATAGGAGAATTATGCGGCATGACGTTAGAAATTTGATCATCGGGTACAGTTTGCGTTGGATGACTGTGAATTTTGTACAAGTTTCCATCGCCGTCACGAATCAAAACATCCTGTGCGTTGACGATCAATGGAACCTGACGAGTTCGGCCCGGCATTACTTCCGATATCAGACCAGTATTGTCGAAATATTCCTTCGTGGCGTTCGAGTCATTTCTCGTTAGCGATGGCATCGAAGACTGATCCATTACGCTACCTCCATGCATGCCAAAAAAATGGCCATCCAACAACCAGTCCGCACGCGAATTTTGATCCCTAGGGTCTCCGGGGGAAATTGGTGGCGTCGGAGGAGTGACGGATGAGACCATGAAGTGACCACATCTAGGCCTCTGATCAACGCGAAGGGCGGACTCCAGAATCGTTTCAGCGCTCACATGTCGGTTGGTAGCAGCGTCAGACACAATTTCAGCCTTTACAGAATACAAACATGAAGCGGAATTTTCTTAAAATCGTCGATAAAACACTCACCGGTGCGCACTTCCCGCTCACATCTTCATCGTTGATAACTTCGGGAAGACGCAATGTCCAACTGTCCGTATTCTCCAGGGAGAAGTTGTCATCGAAATTGACAAGATTCTCAAAATCGGAAGGGAAAGTGCACATCCCCAGTAGATAGTTCGAAAAAAAACTCAAGAACTCGAATCAAATACTGAACATCCGTCACTCGCGATGTTATAGAGGCGGAGAAGGGATAGCTCCAAGATATTCACCAGGTCAAAAAACAGCACCGAAAAACAACCGAAGACTGCCAAGAATAAATCAATTGACTGCTGGGAATTCAGTGAAATTGGAGAAAGAACAAGGCGCTCAGCGACTTTCGCCAGTCCATTTGAAACCTCGCTACTGTTTCACTGGATGGGCTTATTTTACCCCGGAGTCGTCTCCGTCGAAGTCGATTTCAAGTGGGCTGGCTCACGTCCATAAGCTTCACGTGCACATACCCTAAATGCCACCGCGAAAATTTCATTGAACATTCGCACCGAGCGCTCTACTTTAGTGCGGATAGCGCTTACGTCTTCTTCTTGCAAACTTCGTCGCGTTGAGAGTTGCATCGCCATATGCACGAATGTAAAATTTAGATTACACTCGAATAATCACAGAGCTACAATGTGTCTGTTGTTTGGCCTATAGCACAGTTACAGTGCAGTGAAAAATACAGGCCCAGTTGCAATACAGTACTGTACTGTACAAATAATAAACACACTACTGTTAACTGCATGTTATATCACTGATTTTCATCATGACAAAATTTTTAATGGTCCTAGAAAAAATTTCGTAGGCAGGTCTATTGGACACTTGTTACACCAAATGTCCACATTTTAGGACATTAATTTACCAGTTTATTTAATTTTTTAAAGTGTTTCTCCATTCAGTACTTATGGAAACGAAGTAAACATCAAACTTGCTTTAACTGAGTTTGATATAATTAATCTCATATTTCACTTGAATAAAATTTCACCCAAATTTTAATGGAATCTCAATACCGTATACTGTACACACTTTTAGAACGAATTTTGCGGGCTTCTTGCTGATGAGTTTTAACTAGAAAGATTTTACCTGAGATGCTTATCATTGATTCATGCAAATACGACGCGTATTTTTCTCTCAGAATTGGAACAAAACGTGGGATGCATTTCATATATGCGCATGCATGAATACATTTATCGATCAGAAAATTAGGAAATTTTGATAGCAGTGTGTACGTTATACGTACTTCAACCAATTAGCAATCTTCTTTAAATTGTGGACTAATAATTTTCAAACAAGAATGTGATGAACCTAACCATAAGAGTCAAAATTTTGATTCAAATTACAGCTCTTGCCACATAGATATAATAATATTGAAGATCATCCAAAATGTATGATTAGATAAATTTTTATTTTGAAATTGCATGGTACGGGAAAATTATAATCCAGCTTGTAGTTTCTTTCACTTTCTTGGTGAAAAACAGCTTCTTACGAACATGTTTCCCCCAAAAAAAAACTGACTTAAAATGTGCATACAAGTTGCCAGTATGAATTTTGTGAGATTTTAAAATACTGTATGTAAAACAGGTTTTATTTCAAAGTATTTTTTTGCATTAAGGTCTGCTGGTTGCTGTATGAAAACATATATTCTATGTATGAATAGTGAAAATTTGCTATAATTTCTGGGCTTATTTGAAGGCAAAAAAATTGTAAAAACTGTACAGTACTGCTGTATATGTCATACTAGAGTGCCAGGCAAAGACACTTAAATAGTATGATATATTATTAACATAATGATTTGAGAGCTAGGAGATATCAAACTATTGGATTCAAAAAATATACTTCCAGAGTTTTAAAAAAAGGAAGAGAAAAATATACAGCATGCTATTTCTTCTAAATTATCTGCACACCTATAGCTGTATAATCGTATTGTTACACTGTACATAACTACTGTATAAAATGATCATACGATAGTATACCCTGTATGCTGTGCAGTCCAACTAACTATACGCGCTGACAAAAAGGAAAAACGCAGGAAATATACTGTACTTATAAATTCAGCTGTATCTGATGATGCACTGATGCTTGCATTCAAATAAAACTTCCCAGTAAATGGTCGGCATATTCAGGATGAGTCAAAGATTCAGGAAAAGAACAGCTAAGCATTTTCTGATGCTGACTTGAGTTTGGCATAAGAAACTTCCCTTTCCGCGTGATCTTCCTCATCCTCAGTATTTCGGCGCTGTTCAGCTTTCCTTAATTTCCGCCTCGCCATGAACTTTCTCGCAATAATAACCGTTACCACGGAAATGCCGCCAGCAGCACCCAGCGTAATCACCAAAACAGTCGCGTACATGTCTCCGTCTCTGTTGCTCACCACATTTCCCGTTGGTTTCCGATTCGGCACAGTGATGATGGAATGCTGCTCAAGCCGACTCTGCTGATTAGAAACCTGCCGCACAATAACGCCGTTTTCTACTACTGCTGACGATGCTGAGCAATTGAAATCGTACTGCATCAACCGCACGTAGTCGTGCTTGAGCTCATCGTAGCAATGCGTGTCGCGCGGTGCTTCTATCCGGATCCGACCGCTTCCGTGCTTGATCTTTATCCACTCCAGAGCGCATCCGCAGATCAGAGGATTAGAGCTGATGTCCAACCAAGTCAGCGAGGCGGTGGCTTCTGGCGGTAAAGGCGGGAATTCGTGACCGATGTCACACATGGGGATGCTCAGTGTGGACAATCGCGATAGTGTGTTGACTAAGGCTTTGTTCTTCAGCAACTCCTTGGCGATCGACGGCGATTCCTTGAGGAACAACTCGTTGAGCTGATCGAGAGAATTCAACACGTCGCCGTTGCGAAGCGTTCTTTCGTTGGTGGTGCCGGTGAGGGATAACGTTCTCAGGGACCTCATTTGACCCAGAATCGCCAGATCATTCATCTGAAACCTGTCGAAAGTATACGCCTATATTATTATGCTGATAAATTCTGTCATTGGAAGTAAATATTGCTCAAACGATTTTTTTCATTCAGCAGTTTTTCCTAAAACCCATATTATAAAAAAGAAAATGTTGTTTTAACAAACGTGTTTTCACCTGACTTCGTATAGTACTGTACAGCAAAGTACAAAAAATAAGCCCGTGCAAAAACCGTTGGGAGGCGAAGAAGGATTTATCTCATATCCGTCATCCTGTCTTATACACAAGAGTCTCTGAAGTGACTTTCGACTCTGTTATTTTGTTCGATGGAATGTTGTTCGAAAAAATTTACAACTTTCAACAATTGTCCCCATTCTTCAGCAGGTATGGCTTAAAACGGCAGAAAAATGAAATGACACCTGCCAGATGATGTCAAACAAATTTCGAAAGAATTTTACACCATAAAGATTCGTCTTTAACCCGTTTATTAGAGAAAAGATCAAAGCTTCTTCTGTAACTCAACGGTTCACTTATTAATTTACTGTAATTTTTATGTTCCCCGCCAACGTCCTTGCGTCTATACCGTGCCGTAACTCCATATCACCGCAGCAAAGGAAAAAGGCAAAGAATTCCGATTTTTAAGTTTTGAGGCACCTTTTGAGTGAAAAAAAAAGAACCTGGGATACAGTACATCATTATGAAAACTGCATCATGGTCAGCATCATAATCGGATGAGTCAAACTATATACGGCGCATGATAAATCGAAACATCTTTATCTTCTCACATGGTTGCTGTCGAAGTGTAATATCAAACCATGCTTCAAGAAGTTGCAAAAATCATCTTATATGGATGTGAAGGGTATTCTATTGTACTGTACTATGAAAAAAAAACAGGAAAACATTCTCAATTCTACTACGTACTGTAAATAATTATAACTGAAATGTTCACGCCTATATATCATTAATGAAATAATGCCCTGCTCATTGATTACCATGCGCTGCGATATTCCGAGATCAGCACATACTGTATATAGTTTTTGCTTTTTTTCACCGGACCCCGAAAATGTTCGAAATAATAATTTTTGATTTTTGGGATTTGAGAAAGCCTAGAAATTTAATATCTGCAGATAACATGCAAAAAGTCATTCAAAAGAGATTATTCTCTGAACAAAATTACATGTTTTGGTCATGTTTCTTTTTTTGAGAGAGCACACGGAATATATTACAGTATTGATGATCAAGAATTTAAACAAGCAGCGCATACGCATCCTGGGCCTGAGGAACAACCGAATCCTGGTTCTTGATGTTCCGAAAGCGTTACCGACCGCATCATCGCCCCCGCGGTTATTGGAGCAAGTGGATTTATGCGGTAATGGGTTCGCGTCCTTCTCCAATCCCCCATTNTTACACAGCCCCCCCCCCCCCCCCCATGATTGAGTGAAATATAGAACAAATAAAACGAAGTATGATGTTTGTTTGATCACCTGTCCAAAGAAAAACTGCGGAGGTTGCGAAGTGTGCTCAGTGCCTCAACGACATCCGCGTTCAACGCCGGTGCTGGATCAGCTGTCGACGAAGTGGCCCTGATGTCGATTTTCTCCAATCCACTCATCCGATGAATCAGCTCAGGATTTAGAATCGAAATCCGGTCACCCAGGCAAATATTTTCCATCTTGTCCACTGCAAATGGGGGATTGGAGAAGGACGCGAACCCATTACCGCATAAATCCACTTGCTCCAATAACCGCGGGGGCGATGATGCGGTCGGTAACGCTTTCGGAACATCAAGAACCAGGATTCGGTTGTTCCTCAGGCCCAGGATGCGTATGTGCTGCGGAAGAGGGTCCGGTACAACCGTCAAGAAGTTGTTGTCCAGGAACAGACTGTGAATGGACGCCAGATGACGAGAGAAAACTCCTTCCGGGACCCGTTCCAAACGGTTGAAATCCAGACGAAGCGTGTCGAGTAACTCGAGCCCGAGGAACGCGTCATGTTCCATGTCCCGGATCGAGTTGTGGGAAAGGTCGAGCATTACGAGGGTTCCGAGTCCCGCAAAGGCTTCGTTTTCAATGGCTGAAACCGGATGATGGTCTTCATCCACACTACTGACCTTCAATTCCCGCAAGTGTTCAGTGTTGTGAACAGCGAACGCGTTTTTTGTCAAATTACTCAGAGACGAATCATCCGCGCGAATGACGAGTCGGATGGAGCCGATCGGCAGCCATGTTGGCACGTGTCTTTCGCAGTGCACGGACAGCGTTTCCATCGTCATTCCGTCGCATTTGCAGTATTTCGGACATTCTTCGGTATGAATTTCAGCAGAAACGTTTCCGATTGAATGCGCTTCGAGGACAAAAAAGATGACAGCGGACAACTTCACGACCCACATCACGTATACTGTATACGGCATATTATGACAATAATCTACAGCACAGAATAAGCGCATGATTCATGTCTCTGTACAGTACAGTATATCCATTCAAGTACTGTACAGTACAGTAGTTTTTTCTGTAAAAAGGCAAAAATTAATTTCAAGATGTATGATTTACAGCAGTGTTCCCCATTTTTTTGGGGCCTGCAGACTGGCAAATTTCCAAAAAACGTTTTGCAGACCAGCAAATACTTTTAAAAATCGAGAAAAATTTCATAAAATTTTTGAAGACTGGAAAAAGTTTTGCTCAGAAAACATTATGGCAGGTGTTTAAGAAGTCTCTGCTTTTTTGAAAAAAATAAGTTAAGAACAAATAAAGCAGCTAAACTTGCATTCCTTCAAAAAAAATAGAAAGGTGATCTTGAAGAAAAGGGTCTCAGAATGAAAAATTGAAATAATGTATTTCAGCAGAGGTGAAAATTTTTCTGAAGCATTATTAGAAGAAAAGCCGCTTTTTTTTCATCAGAGTATTTCAACTGCCATTGGCCCTCCAAAATTTCAGATAAAGATAACATACAGGACTTCATTCCAACTTTTGATACATTTCTTTTGCTGAAGAAAATTTCCTGCAGCAAACATTGTCTGCGGACCAGCACCAGTCTACAGACAATGGGTTGGGCAACACTAATTTACAGTGAGTTCACTGGATCGCGGAAAATGGATACATGCATGTGTACTTCGGAACTTTATTAAAATTCTTTTTGTAAAACAACTGCGGTCGGGATCAGGAACAAAATGCGTCCAAGAAGAGTTGCAAGGAAGGAGAAGGGGAATTTTTATCATCAGATATTTTTTTTGTGGACGAAACAGTTGCAGAGAAACTTTATCGTCAACTTCTATATACTCGCGTACTTGTGCGCACATCCGGTTTTTAACATTGAGGCGACAGTTTTTAACTGCTGCATATGTGATAAAAAGAATAAAAAATAAAAGGGGAGAAATTCTAAGCGCGGAAAATCTATTAGGTTTTGTGAGACATGCCATGCAGATGCTATAGAATATTACAGTATTGACTTGAAATTAAACGTAAGCATTCGCAAAAAAATTCGAAAATCGTGTAAGAGGATCATTTTATGCAGTACTGTACTCACACGATATATCAATCACAGTGACGAAGCGTAATGAAAAAAATTGCCTCTCTGTCCATTTTAATTAATCGGCGCAGGGAAGAAATTTCTGCAAGCTTTTATTAAACCTATTATTGCCGTATGTTCATTCATTCAGCCGAAGAGTCATCCGTTTTCTCTCTCCAAAGCATCAGTTGTCTAATTATCTTCAGTTCTAAGTTTCATTCGCTTCAAGGTTTGGGACCCATCGAGAGAAATCTCCAACATCCTTTTTAACATCAGATATTCGAGACAGAGGAAATTTTATTTGATCGAAAGAGAATTTTTTCGTTTAAATACGCCGTCGCATGGGTGATGAGGGCCAAAGACAGATGTATTTCGGTTTTCCTTACATTTCGATTTTCTCGTCTTAAATATATTCGCTCTCTGGGTTAAGCAGGATTTGCCAAATTAAAAGCGAATTATCGGCGGATTCTGACGTCCGCATTGTTTAATCAAATTTCTCCCCGAATGAAGTTAGAAACCTGTCACCATCATGCAGTATAAAAAAGGCATACTTGCTCTTACATTCTGCGAGTGTTAGTCTTTTGTTGTCATTCGAATTGTTCGAACCAAAGCTTTTTTCTCGAAAGTTCTATATAGCCAGAGATGAGAACCTCGTTCTTGATCATACTTTTGATCGTGGCCGTGGCCCATGTTGCAAAAGGTATGGATTTTTTATTCACCGTATACGGTATACAGTATAATGTTTTTGATTCGCACTTGGTGGCTGTTATAAAAAAATGAATTACTTTTGCTGTACAGATCATCAGGTAATGGCCATGGACTTGGATATGATGCAAATGGAACAAGACATGATGACTTCCAAGAAGGATGACGACGACGACGACGACGATGATGAAACGACCAAGAAAAAAATCAGGTTTACGACACCAAGTTGCTGTAAAACAACTACGTCTGCATGCTGCCCGTCGACTTGCAATTGTGCGATGCGTTGCGGTGGCTAACATACATGAATAACCTGCACTGCTGGTTTCCAATACCATTCACGAAAATCTGCGGATTCTTCATCCTTGTTTGAGCGACATCTATTCCTTCTTTAGAAAGATTTACGCGCCTACTGTGTACAGTATTGGATTGTGGCATACCGTTCTATGACAGAAGAATGCAACCGAAAAATTGGGACACAGTAATAAAAAGTGATTTAAAAAGAATGCTTAGGGATGGAAAATTTTTTCAGGGTACTGTATACAAGAAAAACTTGTTGTACCGTTCACCTTGAAGCAGAGGGTTTCGGCAATCCTGTCACTTGAACCATCTCGATTCTGCATGTTTGTTGGGCTCTTCTTGCTAAGTTGTTCGAAGGCTTTAGGACTACGAGCTCTTGTTTCCGTGAGGGGAAATGTGCTAGCGTTGATGGAGACGCAATCGTCGATATCTACTTCTAGAAAATTTTAGTGCACCGAATCGTTCATGAATCCGTCCTTCGATTAATGATAGGTTTAGTTCACCCGTGAAATTTTGCGCGGACTGGAAATTCGTCGTCCGCTTGCCGAATGCGAACCACCCATAGGGTTTGCTTTCTGTTCATGTGAACATGTTGTACACATTTTGACTATGTGTGGTTTAGAGTGGCATTTTCTGTGTTAAATGACGACCTGTGTGTCGTCTAATGTTTACGTGCCACTGCTCATTCCATCATCATCATCCTGACTCGACGTGATTTGGTGATCTGTGCCGCGTTCGTGAACTAATGATTTCACATCTTGAAAAAAAGAATGAACCCTCGTCGGCAGGAACATGGGTGCTATCCCATGTTTTTGTGATTCATTGACCTTTATTTCTTGATTCTTCCCTTCGGCTTGAAACTTTCTTGTGATCTGCGTCAAATTATGTACCACGTCGATGAAACGCGTCACTTCTTTTGTCATTTGGTGGTTAGATTCGATTTCCTGGGCTGAGTCTCAGTGTTGGATTTCAGCTAGTAACACAAAATCCGGCCCCGTGAACAAGTCGTGAGAAGAGTTCTCCGGAGTTTTTGAAATTTTCTGAACGAGGTTCTCAAGGTTGTCGTGTGGCTTGAAAGGTATGAACGATTTGAAACGACTTTCAACTTCTAACTTCTTGCTATTGATATGCATCGTTCAGGTTCGCAGTCATGTGGAGGCGTAGAAATCCTCGCGATGATGATGTCATGATCGTCGAAACTTCTAAACCCCGCTCGACCGGAGCGTTACTACCAACTCCTCAAGCGAAAACCTTTCGTACGAAGTACGCAGTTTACGTGGATAATGCCCCTCAAGATTGTCGGGACCACGAACTCAAAGACTTTTTCGGTTGCTGGGGGGCCGACACCGTTCGCAAAGAAGAAGTTGATGGCAAGTATACAGTGGCTCTTTTTTGTGGACTTCTTGAATTCAGTTCCTTCAAGGACGATCAAGAATTATAGGTTCCACGCGACGTGAACAGTGCAGTACTTTTTTTTTGCCGCTTTTGTGATTTTTACTAAGCGAACATTCTTCTCTTGGTTACAGGACGAATGTTTTTGAAGGTCCTCTTCGATTCCGAGCATGATGCACAACGTCTCCTTGACAAACGCAGATTGAACATGGGCGGCATTGAAGTGAGATGACACCATTTGAATTTTCTGCTACTTTTTGCTATTTCCATCCGTCGTTCATTTTTCTTGTAATGCATCTTACCGTTCAGGTGGAAGTTCGTGCGACTCTGCCAAAACCTCCACTGCTAATGGAAGCACCTGTTAGGAGAACGGAGGTGCGTACATTTGTACAGTAATTGCTTTTTTCTAAATTCTGCTCGTCATTCCTTCCAATATTAAACCTCCTTCTTTTCATAGAATGCGAGAGGATCGAAACCCGTCGCGGGCCTATCCCTGGACCCGGTGCGTTTTTCAAGTGAGTAAAAAAAAACCATTTCAGCTCTTGTTAGGATTCTAATGTGGAATTGTGATTTTTCGTTCATGTTGCTCAAGTGGCAGTCTTTGGTTTTTTGTCAGGAGAAAGGAAAGTTGTTACTTTTAAATGACCACGAATCCAATTGTACAATAGTGACCTTGACCATTTCCATTCGTATGTTTTAGTTACCGAGAGCCATCGTAGAAAAGAAATTGTGCCCATGGATGTGGTTATGAGCGACGCTTCCGACAATTCGAATGATCGGCGCACGTCTCAGGCGGAAATGGTTATGTATCCGCCTTCGTTTGACCGTGAACGAGGAAGTGTGAACGAGGAGCTCAAGAGGAAGCTGAATATGGCTGAATCAGAAATAAAAACCCTGAAGGATTCCGTGAAGCATCTCGAAGAGCGTATCGAACGAGAAAAAGGCGAAAAGAGGGACAAAGATGCTTACGTAGCGGAAATCCGTCAATCAAACTTGGACATGGCGTCGAAAGTGAACCGCGTTATTTCTTCGATGGAAGATTTGACTAGAAAACTTGCGAATCTCGAAAGTGAGAACGCTCAGCTTCGAAATGAAAAAGAAAGAATATTGGAGGACAAGCAAAAATTGAATCGTGAGTTCCTTCGATCGCGGAGTGATCTCGAAGATTTGGAAGAAAAGTACAACCGTTTGAAGAAGGAGAAACTGAGCATGGGTCAATTGAGCTCGGAAAATGATGAGTTGAGGCGGGTGATCGATAAATTCGAACCTGGATTCTTCTCAACAGGAAATGTAGAAGCCGGAAGATCAACGGGGGACGAAATGATGGTGGGTCCTGTATTAGTGCGACGAAGATCGATGAGCGCGTGATGCACTTCGTTGTTTTTGGAATTTCAGGAGCGTCGCAAGGGCGATCATAGAAGTAACGAAGAGGATCATTACACCCGACGCAATCGTCGCGACGAAGGTGCTGATCGAATGCAGAATTTGGATGATCGCCGTGTGTCTCGTGTTCAGGAATTTCAGAATGATCGTCCTGATCAGTATCATTCTTTGGAGGGTGAGATTTTTTTGTGCCGATTTATTGTGTTAATTAATTATTTTTTTGCCTGTATGGAAGTATCCGTAGCCGCGAGGGTCTTTCCAGCTTGCTGTGTCGATCTGGAGTTGAAAATATCCATCTTTAATACAAATTTTGCCATCTTTATTACGAAGTTTTCGGTGCCTAAGACATGTTGAACTCTCTTTAAAAAAAAAACAACGTACAAAAGGAGAGTACTTACGGTATTTTTCTAAAAATTCACAGCACTTCAGAGTTTGAATCGACATTTTCATGAAAAATGTACTTCCTTTTTCTAATGTTTTATGTCTTATTTTCGCAGAAGATGAGCGGAAGAAAGCTCTGCGCGAAACCATTGAGCAGTTGACTGCAGTGAAAGCAGCTCTGATATCAGGGGATACAAACGTTCCTTCATTATTGGAGATTGACCTCACTGCCCCGTCCCTTTCTGACGAAGACTCGTTCCCCCGACGGTCCGAGCAGGGTCATGGTGAAAAGAGGTTTAAAGGATCTACCTCGATGTCCAGAGGCAATAATCAACGACGAGGTCAAGCGAAACAACGAAACCGATCGCCTCCGGGAAAGCACGAGGATCCCAGATTCCAGAATCAAGAACGTGGGCGGCAAACGTTCCGTGGACGCCGACCTTTCGGATCGTCCGGAAGATCACGTGCCGGTGGATTCAGGGGTAGACCTCGTGGACGTGGTTTCTGATATTTTATTTAAATGGTTGTGTTCGTGTTTCCCTCGGTTCATTTTTTTTCTTTGATCAGCTTTGTTCTTCCCCTGAGTCATGTTCTCACTTTTCGAAATGGTCGTGTTGTCTTCAGTGGGCGTGTTTGACGGATGCAAGGCTGCGTTAATTGTTGAAATGCGAGGACTTCAATTACTGTGTATTACTTTCGAACTGAATCATTCCTTTTGAACGCCAGCTGTCTTGTGCGGTGGAATAAAGTAAATAAACGATGTGCGTCCCTTCTGCAGGAGTTCAGTTTCGGGAATTTTAACATATACTTCGAGTTATCTTCGTAAATCAAGTGCAGCACATGATTTGACGCGGTGTAAGTTTTGTTGTGTGCCTATGAGTACCTGTGTGTGTGTGTAGATTGTGTACCTTGGTGAACCCCGCACATTTGTTTAGGAATGGTATGCATGAAAGCAGAAAATCGACTCGAATTACATGATTTGGGGAATGTCTGGCTTAATCTGTCAAGTTTGTTTGAGGTTTTCTTTCGTGGTTTTCTTCCCGTCCTGACGAGTTTTGTGTTTCATTTCCTTTAGAACGATCCGAGCTATTCTGTGCTTCGCGTGTAATCAGGCTGGCAGGTCACAGCCTTCGAAAGACTTGGGCGCGTTTTCCGAATCATGTGATGGGATGTTGCTCCTTACGATGTGTTCTTCTGACCGTCATTTCCCTCCAGTTGGTGAGTATTCCTGGTGATTTCGAAAAGCTTGGAGGGCAAATATTGATTAATTTGTCTATGTGCAGGTTTCGACCTTGGAAAGACAAATTTTTGACTTCCTGGGTTACATGTGGCTTCCGATTCTATTGAATTTCGTGCACGCTGTATTCACAATCGTCGGGTTCTTCGGAGCGTACCAGAATCGCCGCCCGTATTTGATAACGGTGGGAGAATTTGAGAATTTGAACTGAAAGGCAATTCTATAGCACATATTTTTTTTTTTTTTTGCAGTATTTGGTGTGGTGTATCTTGTGGATTTCGTGGAGTTCATTCGTCATTTGCTTGTATATGGAAGTAGGAAGTCTGACTGAAGTGAGTTCATCGCATTTTACGTGTGAAATGATTCAAATTTTAATTTTCCGAATTCTTGAAGGAGGTGGACATTCTTAGTCTCGGAACTGGATCATACAGTTGGTGGCAAACTCATGGCTTTGGTTGTCGCCCTATCTTCTCTACCAATGGCACGCTTTTGTCTCAGAATGACACAGATCTGACAGATCACGATGCCCATTCTGCTATACTTTATCGACCACTGAAGCCTATTCGTGTGGAAGATTGTCTTCTTGAACATCGTTATGTGGAAGCACTGCATGCCGTAATCCAAATCGCCCTAATTGTAAGCTATCAATTTTGTTGCGATGCATAATTCTTATTGTGTTTTTCTTGCTCAAATTTAGGTTCTTGCATTCCCTCTGGCTGTGTGGCTTGTTCGACACCTCTCTGACGATGACGATGGTTGTGAGTGCAACATTTTTATTTCTTTCTTGGAGCAGTTTTAGGGCGTGGAATTTGATTTTTTTTACGTTTCGTAACTGATGGGCTGGGGTTCTACGAATTTACCTTCTCGCTGTCCTTTTCTTCCTGCGTCTAAATTGAAACTATTTCTACCTAACATTACCTTGGCTGCAAAACAATGGCAGTCCATTTCATCGGAGGCTTCGGGCAAGGGAATGCGTGCGACCAGGTTTCCCCGTCCCCGTGTCCGCCGCATTATCGAATCCACGCTCGCACACCAACCCAGCCGCAACTTGAACGTTCGTGGTGGCCTCCAACGACAACAACCACTATTGACGCTTCAGAAGCTGACGTTTGGAGAACTTCGGACGTGATCAATGGATACGCAAACTTGGTTCGATCGGGGAATTATCCGAGTAAGAGCAAATGCGGGTTTTTATGCCAAGGCGGATACTCGGTATCTGGTCACTTGCCGCCAACTGTGCACCCGATGTATAACCGCTATTTACCAGTCAGAATTGTGGCTCAGGAACGCACTTATTTGTGATTCCGTTATTCTTTTTTTTTTTTTCTTTGTGGTGTCACATTCTGAAAGTTGTTCTGTTTTCTGGAGCGGTAGCGACGGCAGAATTCGTGAGTGACTTGAGCTTGTGTTGAAATCACAGAATTTTTTGTACCCACACATCACGTTGGTTCGTCAGAGGTTCCGGCGATTTGATTGTATAGAACGGCACGTTTCGCTGACTATCCTATTGTAATGTGGAGATCTGTCTTCAGTCGTCAAACTGAATCTCCGACTTTTCCTGATCGACGTTTAACTAGTTGAAATCGCTCGTTACATCTCGAGAGAAAGGTTTTTTGGAGCATTTGGGGAACCAAGTTGAGTCTATGTTGACCTCGATTTGAGTGACGTTAGTTCTCTTGATAACGAGTTCCTTTGAAGTTGATGCTACTTTTTATGCTACAGTATCAAGTTCACTCGACATATAAGCGTAAAACACTTCTCACATCCAGTTGTCTTGCGAAAAAAAGCAGTTCCGTTTTTTTTAAAATTGAGTTTTCGAAGTTATGTCTGATACGGATTTATCTTCTTCGATGTTCCGATCAGTGTTTCCGATTTATTTTTGGATTGATGTGGTGCACAAAGTATTACGGGAAGTCGTCATAGGACAAACCCAAGGTAGTCATGGCGTGTGTACCCAAAAGGTCCTGCTTTCAAAGACTTCCTGCACATGGGAATCGCTTCCAAAGCTTTATTCCTTCCTGCTCTTCTTTACTGGGTGATTGAAATGATTATTTTGAGAGTTCTCTCGTGAGAGCCGGTAAAAAAGATAGGCGAGAAATGTTTGGTGCTGTGAGTGTGAAAGCTTTGGATCTCAGAGCGAGGTGTCATCGGGGCTGAACTCTCGATGAATCGCTCCATGCTTTGTTCGTAAAACGCAGTAATAAAACTTGAAGCTCACTGGTTCGAGACTACGATTTCCTTGCTTGCCTTGCCGTTTGTTTCCTATACTTCTTTTCCTTTGCATGCGGGTAGTTGTGTGCATGGTTCACATTTCTATTAGGGTTTTCAATTATTTTTAATCGTTGCTTTTTCTGAAAAAAAAAATAAGGCGGAGTGAAAGGTTCCTCGAGGGCCGAGTCCATTTACTCAATCCAGTACAGCACGAATGTGACAACGGATGGGATGCGGAGAACTTCCACCCCTGAAATGACAACATTGAGTCGTGACCATTTGAATCAACAATATGAAAGCTTTAATGAACCGATGACTCCACGACGAGTGAAGCGTCGATCTCTGACTAGAAATTCTGGTGAGATATATCCTCATTACGTTCTAACGATTGATTACTGTATTCTATGTACTGACTTGCGTGCGGAATACCGTAAGCTTTTAACATATTCGTTCAGCTAAGAAAACAAGACATTTGAGAACGTGCTTTTAAACGCGTATTTTCTCGAGTAACTCGCGCACATTTTTTCTCAAAGTTGAGAGGCAAAATGGGGTGTGCGTCATGGGCGGATATACATTTTTCGAAAGAAATTTGGGTGTGCATTATATACTTGATTCAATAAGAAATTGTAGACCCTTTTCATCAGAAAAAACATATGTTTTTACTAAAAAAAAATAAATGGGTCGAATTTAGGTTCAATCCATGTGTAAATAAAAAATTGGGTGTTCTTATTTTCTAAATATTGCAGTGTTAGAGTTAACGAAAATGGGATGCACGTCTTACTCGAGGGCGCGGGGTACTCGAGTAATCAAGGGAAATTAACTTCTTGTCGGGCCAAGGAAAATAATACAGACGGATAAACCCTAGAAATCGTGTTGTGGAGAAAAGGAATCGTCCAAAAATTACCTGGAACGAAATCGCCGGTGAACCGACATTTCACAAATGTCTCAACAAGATTAATTTTTTTGTCCCATTACCTTCTTAGTTACTTAGACGTATTTTGTTGATAATGGTTGTGTACTCGCGTTCTCATCAGTAACTTCATTCTCTTGGAAATAATGTGCATATTATTATTTTTTCGTGTACTAAATTAGGGAGAAGTTCGCGAGGTTCGAAGCGTAACGGTAACGCTGCCGCAGCGGCGGCGAGAGCAGGAAATAGGTCTTCAACACGTTCCACACGTTCTGCTCGCGCTCGTCGGATGGCCGAACGAAGCGTTCAGCAGCCAACTTACCGCAATCCCGTGAACCGCCTCATGTCCATGGATCCCGCCCTCGACTCCTCTACATCCAACGACGAAGCGTACCGACACATGAACAACCTCACTTTCCACGGGCACGTGAATCCTACGTACGCGAGCTCGCGACCGGGCTCAGTCACGTCCTTCTCCACGGCTGCGGGTGCAAATACGATGCCTTTGATGCCCATGCCGCCGATCACTTCTTCAATGTACGGGTTTGAGCGCGACACGCCGACACCACCTCCGCCGCCGCCGCCGCTCCACAGCGCCGTTTCCGGACTCGCGCATGGCAACGGACTGTCTAGTTTTGATCACAGACCCAAGTCTGCCATGTCGGCTTACTCCAACTACCACGCACACCGACAGCCGTATGGAGTGATAAACTCGCTTTATTCGGCTAGAAATGGGGTTGGGGCTCGTGGCCAGGTGCCGAAGCGGGAGGATGCGCCGAACTTTGACCCGGGAGGTGGAAATGGAAGTTGCCTCCTCCCACTGCCCATGGACTCCAACTCTACCACTAATTCTTCCGTCCAGGCCATCGCTTATCCGCAAGCTGTGCCTCCGCCGCCTGTGAGACCGAGTTCTCGGGTGGGGAACCTGAATCACAACCATCGACCCTATCTGTTCGCCGTTAATTCGGAAACGGTAATCTGATCGGCGTGAATCCGGTTTGGGAAGTAAGCGAGAGAGGCTCGAAGCATTTACGGAAAGCTCCTTCATCAATTTTGAATTAATGCACCTGTCTGTATTTCATTCAAATATTTTGGATAACGGCATTTTTTTACGCGTCTTGCTAAGAAAGGGCGATTCTAACTTGAATATTTTTCTTTTCGTGTATCTTCCTGACGTACCTCCGTTGGGAGTAGAGATTGCTTTTAGAGCTTACTGTTGAGGCCTGGAGAATGAGCGGCAGAAGTGCGTTTATGTTCTGATAATTTTTGGTCATTGAGTCGTCTGTTCCTATAATCCAACGTATTGTATTAATCTTTAAAATCAGGTGTTTGATAAAAAAAAAGTACAAAACGAACTGTTTCTGCGTGATGCTGTCCTGAGTAGCTGGTTGAATTATTGAATTTTCTGTGGTCAAAACTGGATCAGTGAGCTGTCGTGTTAATATTTTTTCCGCGTGACAAATTTTTTGATTTTGTCTTTCGAAAGGAGATTCTATATCAAGTAATTTTTAGGTATGTCGTGATCGTGCCTTTTGTGAAGTCAAGAAATAAATTATGTTTTGCTTGGTGAATTAGGATTCATGCTGCAGGCGGTGGAAATTATGTTGCGTTCACTCAGCTGTGAGCGAAGAGTTTCGATGCTGGTATTTTTTCGATTATGAAAACCCGTGTGTGGGTTGTTCATTGAAAATATCCGTCTGTCACTGAAATTACATATGCGAAATTTTTTGCGGTATTTAGGCGGTAGACGCATAGAATGTGTTGTAATCGAGGATCTCGACCTAAAAATGGAAGGAAACGGATTTTGTTGCGTTTTTTTTACACTTTTTACTGCTGGCAAGCAGCAGAATGCACGCGTTTTTCGACGGAAATTTTTTTATTCGTTTGGTTTGGCCATTGTGTATATTGAGGAACTTGTTCAGGGTACGCGGTGTGTTTCACTTTTTCCGTCCAGGCATCGACTGAGATCTTCGCTACTTGAATGCTTTTAGCGGAAATCGAAAACTTTCTTTCACCAATTTCTTATCTATATGGAAGTTTTGAAATGAGTGTATAAATGGAATTCCGGGATAATGACAAGTTTTTCATTCTTAATTCGATTTTACCGTTCCATATTTAGCCATGTGATTCATTTGTTCGTGGTGGTTTTTTTCCTGGATCGTCTTCCAGATTAAATTTGTAGAGGATATTCGTGTAACATGGTGGAACCCTTTTTTTCAGGATTTACGGCATGATATTGTATTTGAAAAAAAATGTTTGCCATCTAGGGTGAGAATTGAGAAAGGGCTGACCTGTAATGAAGGAGTTTCTGTAATCTTGAATGCAATTTATGTTACAGGATGCGAAACATTTGTTCGCTATTGTTTTGAATGATGAATCCGTGAATTTTTTGCATGAATCTGTGATTGCGAGGGAATCCTTCCCGGCAGTAATATTTTTTTTTCATCATCACGTAGTTCAAAAATCATTGAATTTTTTCTCTGTTTACAACTGTTGCATTCATCTAAAGATGCATCTACAGTATTTGAAAATATACTTCAAGGATGCTTTGAGCATTATTCGGACTTACCAGTTCGTCTCCTGAGTAACCCAACGCATCATTTTGAAACGGATCTACGAATAAGTGTGCTTGCACTCCATTTATGCTTATTAGGGCTGTCTAGCCAATCATTTTGTATTATTAATTCAAAATTAGCATTATTCTGTTCTGTGCCGGTTTCTTTTCCACAGCAGGCACGTGTTCTGCGGAAGCTGGAAGTTGATGCCGTAGATCAGTCTTTCTGATTTGACATGATCATTCGAAAATTGTGGAAGCCTTTCATTCATAAACCTAGCAACTTCTTACGGATATACTGTATATAGCGTATGGTCAATTTATTTTATTAATTTTCAAGAGCTCAAATTTTCGTAAGTTTAGTCTTCCAGAACCGTGTGTACAATATTGGAATAGTCGTCACATGAATGTCAGACTATCCGCTTCAAGTCTATCCTCCCATTTGCATGAATACAGTATCACGCATGGAATACATTTTTCATGTTTTCAATATGCTATGGGCTGGAACAACGTGAAAAAATTATCTATGTGTAAAAAACAGCCCGCTTCCAGTTCAGATTTCTTTCTTCAGTGTCTTGCAGTATTTATAGTTACCCTTTGTATTAAAATATACTTCCACTTGTGGAGCCACCAGAAAGTTATGTTAAATTCGTGACGTATGTGAAAAGATTATATATGAACACCTCGTCATGAATATGCGTCTGCCCATTTTTTTCGATTTCCGCGCATAGACTGCTCTAGCCTTATACAGTACACGTTTTTTTACTTGCTTTTTCTTTCAATTATCATTGCTGTGGATAAGGCGTATATACCGGAAAAGATGGTGGGGTGATATTGAGCGATTCGAAATTGGAGTGAACAATTCATTTCTCGTCTGTAAAGCCAGAATCTGAAAATCAGAGACGTGCAGGTCAGATTCAGTACAATTGCCCAACTGAAGCAAAGCAAGGTTTATAGGCGTCATTTGACTTTCCAGTGCATTTTAATTAGTCATTCTCTGATTGAGTGAACACAGCATGCAATTCAAGCCTTGTATAATATAGTATTTGTGAAAGATAAAAATTGTGGTACTGTACCAAGATTCAAATACGATTTTGACTGTTCCACATACAAGACCTTAATTTTTGTTTTAATTGTAATTGTTATCAACTGTACTTCACATAAATCTTCAGTAAAATTTGATGGCATCCATATTTATTCTAACATATCCATTTCATTGAAGAGGTGAACTGAGTCAAATTGGATAGGAATTTTGGGATTGATGCCATGTGTCAGGCAAGACAAGGGGTATTAATAACTACACCACCATTATGGATACTGTAGCTTGTGTGTCTGTGGGTACCTATTGACGAAAGTAGTCCAACTCGATGAAGTCTGTAAAGGGGTCCCCGTGAACAGTACAGTATCTCTTCAGGACGGTAAGGTACCTGAACACCTCATGCTGACAGCCGTGACAGAGTGTTGCTGTGAGAAATGCCTTGTTATGATGAAATGGTTCGGTAAACAGATTCATGATTGATGCAGTATCTACGAATACGGTATGTGCGCGGAGTTGGGATGTGATTGTCCTATTCGTGAGAAATTCCGTAGCTATTAGGATAGCTCCGATATGCGGAATAATTTAATCCGGATTGTATGTGATTTTTTTTTTTTTGCGGAAGCATTGCATCTAAATATACCTCATTTTATGTATTTCGTAGGGTGTTCGCCTTAAATTACCGAAGAAGTTTGTTTTGAAGATGATGAGTTCTGTGACGGAAAGTGGCGAATCCGACGTCGACGTGGCTCAATTCTTTGATTGGTTCGGAAGAGCTGACGTGAAAAGACGGGAAACATTACCGAGTCCCTTACGCAGCACTCTTCCTGTACCTGTTCGCATGAAGCCAGCAACGAATATGCCCTCATCGGGCTGGCCGGAATTCAAGTTGGATCACTTGACCCAAAAATTCCAGGATATGTGTGTGAATCCGCTAAGATCGGAGCCCAATGATCTGTCGAACGCGGTTGTGATTCCGTACTCACGACGTTACCGTCACGCTCGTGCGCCAGGTATACCCACATTTCGTCGTAAGTTATGATCGGACTTTTTAGCCAAAACAGTAATTTTCCGCTCCTTGAATTCAATTTTGAAATTACGTCAGAGGGAAGTATATACTGTAGTGAGAATGCGAGACCGAATGCTTTACTCAAGTACTTGATGAACGTTTGTTCAATTGTATCCGCGTGGAGAACTGAGTATTTATTAAGCATGTATGGACTTCTTCCGTCTCTATTCCAGCTTCTGGGATCGAAGTATCTGCCGAGAAAATTTTCAACTGGTCGTTAACCTCGGAGGATTGCTTCCATTTAACGCAACCGGGTCACTCGGGATTCAGAATGTTCCTGCGCCTTGCCACTGGTCTCCACTCCCGGATACGTTCCATGAGCGAAATGGATGGCCGTTCGTCGTGTTCTTCTTGTCGATACCGCTGTCCTGTGCATAGCCGGTCAAGTGGCAGGCCTACACCGTACGCTAACAGTGGAAAAAATTTGAAAATTTTCCAAAAAATGGTCACAAACTCACCGAGCAGAATGAATTTGTTTCACCCGGATGCCAAAATTATCGAAGTTGACGAAGAATCTGAAACCCCGGTTGTGCAAAGGAAACCTGGAATGACGCTTGAACAGATTTTACGCGATGGAGCGGAGTTGCCGGTGCTTGGTGGCAATGTTTTGCCTGACCGTGTCCAGCAGTCCAGGGATATTGAAAAGGTCATGAGAGGGTTGAAATATTTGGCTGTCAGCTGAAGCCGGAATTTGTTTTTTCAAGTGTATGATACTCGATATCAGGTCACTTCGTTTGATATTTCGCGATCTTCTCTGGAGAATGGATGGGGTGCATGGTAACCGGTATTTTGTTCGCTTACAGATTTCATTTCAGGAATGTTTCTGTTAGCTGCTTCATTTTCTTCATGGACATTTTTCATTCCACTGGTTAAGCATACCTGACCTTTTATACTGCCGTCGTGTGAAGCATTCACGTTCTCGCTGGCAACCGATGATTCGGGATTTAGAAAAATTATCATCCAACGCTTCATGAAAATAATTTTCCCATATATCCGTGCTTTCATATGAGCAGTCCTCCCGCTTTTTCTATTTTTTGTAGAGACCTTGATTCATTCTATCATATTTAATGAACGTCAAATGATCTCCAGTCTTTTTTTGTCATCTTCGTATCGTGGCCTTAAATAAAATTTATAAAATCGCCTGAAGTTTTTTCAAGACTTCTTGAGGCTGATCTGGAATTGTTTCCCCACCTTCATTCTTAGGGTCATCAGTAAGAATTAAATAAAAATCCGTTAAATTTCTAAGGTTACAGGTCAACTTCAACGGATGAAAATTGTCCTGTCTCTTGTCGAGGACGAGTTTCCATGGGATGTTTGAGCGATGAGTCCATGATTAGTTTTGCCGAACCGTAATTCGAGCAAGAGTCAAATGACATAAAGAAAAGCCATTTTTTAATGTCAAGATGATTCAAGGGTTGAATTTATTCAACATTAAAATAATCCGGGAAAAGTGGAATTCAAAATTTTTTCAGGATCTTCGAATTAGTACCTTGCTTGCGATCAATATAATTTTTACTTACCGTGGTGATCTATGAATTAATTATGTGTCAAGAGGTCTCATGGCTTCTGCATTTGAAATCGCGATTGGAATCGAATGAAATGAAAGTACCGTACTGCGACGAAGACAATACTGCCAATTTCTTCAGAAGTGAACGACCTTGCTGAGCTGAGTTGCGTCGCTGCAGCATGAGAACTCCATGAGCATGGGCTGAGGATTATTATTCCCTTCCAACGGAATATTTAAATCCTTGAATTGTTTATATGGCTAGAAGTCGGAACCCTAAATTTTCAAAATGCGAGTCATTGAGTTTGAGAAGTTGGGCGTGCTCTACATGTCAAAGGGAGAGATTATGTGCCTTCTGGCAATATTTCCCTGATTTCTTCGCGGAGTGTTCGTGGTGGTCGGGCCAGCTCGCCATTCCGAGGTTCCCGCGTGGGTCTATTGGCGCATTTATTTGCTGTTCGTACTTCGTTATGACTAAACCTATCCGACGTCTGGTGACTTTCTCAGATTATTTCTGGTTGATCTAAGTCCCTGCACCTGCATGTTCGTATCACGTCGAGTCCTTCCAAATTTTACAGAATGTAGCAATGGGTAATATTGAGTTCCGCCGTTCTCTACTTCTGCGTGGAAGATCCAGCTTTCTAGCCAACTTCCCTGTTCGACGTGAGCTTTGATGGGAACTACATTTTGCGTAATGGATTAAAGAATATTCGATGGGAAATGAGTCAACCAGTGAAGAATTATCTTGAAACGGGATTTTTGCTTCGGCAAATACATCTACGATTGACAATTTGTGATCTGTACACACACTGAGACTAAACAAAGCAAACGGTGTGGTTTGCGAGGAATATGAGGTTGCAACGTGATGAGTGCTATTCAATGCAGGAAGCTAAATTTGCCTGACGCAGCGTTTCCCAAATTTTGTAAATTTTATGTTTGGAATTTTTGCGGAAGCATGGTTCTGTTTAATCATTAACTTTTAATTAGAATGGAGGCATTCCATCCTGTGAATAGACTAGAGTTATGCAGGCATCATCGTGTGCTTCAAAACATCGCTAGGAAAAATTCAACATACCTACTGTACATCGTAAAATTTATTTGATGTTGCAAACGCTGAAACTTCAAATTCAAGAGGACCTTGCCTAAAGCCACATCATCCACATCCACACAGCACTCCCATGCAACCTTCCCAGTTGAATCCCTCCCACCCATCCCAAGAGAGGCCTGCAGGAGGGTCCTGTTTTGAAGACTGGAAAATTCTGACAAATTCAATTTTCAACCAATTTTTAAAGTATCACATGTGCATTGAAGTTCTACAAGTTTCATTTTTTTAATTTTGAAAGAGCTGTAAAACTGAGCAAGATACTATCAGAAATGTTTTTTGAAAAATGTACAAAAATCAGCAAAAAAGTAGCTTAAATTTAACTCATTTAATTTTCAATAGGATGAATTTAATAAATGTTTAAAAATATAGAACATCAGTGCACATGACTCCCCGCAAAACATTTTGAAATTACATCAAAAATGTAAAATGAGCAAAACTAAAAAGTTTGAATTCCCATTTGTTTTTCTTCCTGTTTTTCCACCTTCATAAATTATCCAGAAATTGACTTCTCAGCCAATTCTTGAAATATTTCAAAATTTTAATGTGCAATGATGTTTTCTAAATTTTTTTTAAAACATTAGAATAGCTTGTAAATTACCAAATATGTAAATAAAAATCCAATTTTTTTTTTGAAAATTGTAAAAACAATCTGGAAGAAACATATTTATCACCAGCTTGTAATAAATAAAGACACTACCACTTGGGAAGTCGTTTTCCTTCCAGCATTATTACGGTATGTGTGCGTTCCAGTCCCTCTCATTGTGCTTCGCGAAGTCCTGAAGGAGTATCATGTCCATGATGGCCAAAAATGCCTCACTGCTGCTGATAGAATAAGCATCAAACCATTGAGGGTTAATGGTAATGCGGCTTTGTTTAACATGCTGGGAGAAGCTTGGTAGATACGGACATCTTCGACGAGGAATGGAAATTGATCTTGCCCCATTGAACAGTAATAGCGAATAATGTTTGAAGCGGAAGTGAACACCACGGAACCGGAATACTATAGACTCTGGGGATGGGCTGGGATCTGGTGCCCGATGGGGGCTAGCACTGCTAACCTTGATGGAGTAGGAGTGACATCTGTAAAGGTGTGGTACAGTACGAGAATGGGGCTGGTTTCATTCTCCCGCCGAAACACCAGTGACACTCATTTTCAGCAAGGAACGACGTGAGTAGAGTCTTAGGTGTAGCCTTAGAAGGAAGCTCAGTGATATAGGATTTTATTATGGACAACTTGAAACTTTGTCGAGTGGTGGCGAAAGTGATTAGCAGACAGAGCGTGTTACGAAGTATGGAAGTGAATCTAATTGAGTAAATTTTTCACAGCTGAAGTGATCTTCGGGAAAATGGCGTACTTGGAGTGCATAGGATGTACCCTTCTAGCTTTTGGACCACCTCTTGCGATGTTCCTCGTTACAATTGCCTCGGATCCTATTCGGATCATAATCATGATCGTCAGGTATTGAAGCTTTGTCATGCTTTTTGTTTAATCTGTATTGATTATTTTGGTTTTTTCAATGCAGCGCGTTCTTTTGGTTGATGTCGCTGTTGGCAACGGGCATTGTTTGGTTTGCCGTGGTACCCCTGCGCACCACCTTGGAATTCGGAGTTGTGTTCTCCATCATATTTCAAGAAGTTTTTCGATTCCTTCTATATCTGGTGATACGGAAGGCGGAGAAAGGGTTGCAGATGGTTGCTGACGGGCATACCATTCTTGCAGATAATCACCGTGACATGATGGCATATGGTGAGGCGTGACTCGCTTGATGTAGCCAGTTTATATTATCTTGAGATTAATTTTTCTGCAGTTTGTGGATTCGGCTACGGCGTTATGAGTGGTGCTTTTGGATTTGTGAACGTTGTTCGGGATTGTTGGGGTCCCGGTACTGTGGGATTGCGTGGAAACCCGATAGAATTTTTTCCGACGTCTGCGGCACTTGCGCTATCGATGATTCTTCTACACACATGTTGGGGAGTAATATTCTTTCACAGTTTGACTGAAAGACGTTATGTCGGTGTTGTTGCTGTCGTTGTATCTCATTTTATTGTTTCTGGACTCGTGAGTATTCGATGAAAGACTTACGGTTCACGTACGAAACTCACTAATCTTTTGCATCTTTCGCAGACATTTCTCAATTCTCTGACGCCGCCGCTGTATTATATCACGATTCCAGTCGCCTACGTCGTTCTCATAATTTTTGCAATTTTATCCTTCCGAATTGCGGGTGGAAGCATTGCCGGTCTGAGCGCCGCAGCCACTCGGAAGCCTCCAACAACATTGGAAGTTGATGCAGGGGACGATAGTGCTACGGTCGATAATGATGACGGCGGTTTCCGCCAAAGACAAATGAGTCGCAATGCGTCAGATGAAGTGGTTGACCCTGACAGCCGGAGAAATCGTTCCAGTGCAGCAATGCTGTGAATGCCAAAAATTGTTTTCTACGTTTTTCTTTGCAATCGTACTCCTTTACGCCTCCGTGACTGTGATTGATTAAAATTCGAGTGTTGCGAAGACTTTTTCCTTCAATGTGCACTTTAGCGGGTGGAGTATAGTACTCTGAATTATTGACCAAAACTCTGTCGTACAAAATGTGACGTTATTCTGTGCATTTGCAGGACCGCCGACTTTTTCGGTATCTGACTGGGAGATATTAATATCGTTCGTAGTAAAGTGTGCAAAAAAGCGAAAAAATGTCGACTGTGCAGATCCCTCCTTCGGCGCTGGTGAACAAAAACAAGAAGCATTTCATCGGCATGCCGGCGCCTTTGGGTTATGTGGCTGGAGTTGGACGAGGGTGAGAAACCATTTTAGAATCGCCTTTTCAGTGATTGATCATATCTGAACAATTTTAATGAATAATTCCAGAGCAACAGGATTTACAACGCGTTCCGATATTGGACCTGCACGTGATTCCACTGACGTTCCGTGAGTAATTCATCGGTAAAAACAGGAAAAAAATCTCAAGTGGAAATTTTGATAGGGATGATCGCCATGCTCCGCCGCCAAAAAAGAAAAAAAACGACGAGGAAGAAGAAGAGGAGGAGGATTTGAACGACGCCAATTATGATGAGGTTCATACTGATATTGAAGATATTAATACAAATTATATTGCTCCATGCGATATTCTCAAATACAAATACTGATCGCGTTTGTACTTTCAAGTTCGCTGGATATGGTGGATCGCTGTGCTCGAAAGACCCTTACGATAAAGATGATGAAGAAGCGGATCGAATCTACTTCGAAATCGACAAACGAATGGATGAAAAACGGAAGGATTATCGAGAGAAAAAGCTGCGAGGTGCGTATCCTACATTAACGTAGAACTTGTTACGTTCCAGCCTCATGGTAACGCATTTTTAAACTATTTTTCCTGACAGAGGAATTGGAGAAATATCGTCAAGAACGACCGAAAATTCAGCAGATGTTTAGTGACATAAAGCGTGACATGGCGGAAATTAGTCAAGATGACTGGCTATCGATACCAGACGTTGGCGATGCTCGAAATCGGAAACAGAGAAATCCCCGAGCTGAGAAGTGATTATCCTCGCCGTTTCAATTTTAGCAAGTACGATTTAAAAAAAAAACAAACGTGTCCCATATTTTTCAGGTTTACTCCATTGCCAGACAGCGTACTTGCTCGCAACGTTGCCATGGCATCAGGTTCGGCAACTTCCATTGATCCCTCTTCAGGGTTGGCATCTGCGGTTCCTTCGACTGCGGGAGGCGCTGGAATGTTGACCCCAAGTGGTGATTTGGATTTGAGGAAGATTGGGCAAGCTAGGAACACTCTAATGGACATCAAGCTAAATCAGGTTTCAGATTCGGTTTCTGGCCAAACAGTGGTCGATCCGAAGGGATATTTAACCGACCTGCAAAGCATTTTGCCCAAATACGGTGGCGATATCAAGTGAGTATTTCTTTGTAATGATCCATACAGAAAATCGTTCTGGTAAGAGGTGAATATATGAAGTTTTTTAGGCTCTCGTTCAAATTTATGAAGCATCCATGGTGTGGTCCAAGAAATTGGGCTAATTTTCCGAAATCAATATCTATTGAAAGTATTGTTATGGTACTTTTTCTTGTTAGGTGGAAATACTACGAACAATTGAACGTGACGTGGTTCGTAGTTCCATACATTAAATGTTCTGTTCATTTGTTCTAAAAAAAAACTCCAGCGACATAAAACGTGCAAGAACTCTGCTGAAATCCGTTCGTGAAACGAATCGGGCACATGCTCCTGGATGGATTGCATCAGCGAGATTGGAAGAGGTGACGGGAAAACTTCAAGCTGCCAGGAATATTATTCTAAAAGGATGCGAAGAATGTCCGCAATCGGAGGATGTATGGATTGAAGCCGCCCGATTGCACGCCGGCGCCACTGCTCAGGCTGTTCTAGCAAATGCAGTTGTCAGACTTCCAAATTCCGTTCGTCTGTGGTTGCGTGCCGCTGAAGTGGAGACGGAGATCAAGAGCAAACGAAAAGTTTATCGGAAGGTTCGTTTGATTTGGTTTCATCTCCTTGTTAGAAGAACTACCGTCAACTTATATTGAATAATATCGCTTGTTAAACAAGCCGTAGAATGCTTTTTTTTTAGCTGTTTTGAAGGCCACGGATTCGCGAAAAATGTTGGTGGCTTAGAAGTCTTTGAGTCTAAACCCTTCCTTCAATTTTATTATTAATTATTTACAGTATTATTTTTTTGATGTAGGCACTTGAGCACATACCGAATTCCGTTCGTGTATGGAAAGCAGCCGTTGAGCTGGAAGAACCGGAAGATGCGAGAATTCTCCTTGGAAGAGCCGTCGAGTGTTGTCCGACGAGTGTTGAACTATGGTTAGCGTTGGCTCGTTTGGAAACGTATGAAAATGCTAGACGTGTCTTGAACCGAGCGAGAGAAAACGTTCCGACCGATCGGCTGATTTGGATCACCGCTGCTAAGCTAGAAGAGGCAAATGGGAACTGTGCAATGGTACCGAAGATCGTCGACAGAGGTACAGTGTTCTAACCATATTAATTTTTCCCCAATCCCCCGACATTGTTGGCTCACCATAACCTTTAACGCCCAAAACAAGTCGCACAATCCCCCTCAAAAAGCTAACATTTGTGCGATAGACATTTTTCCATGAACCGGAATGCCGAAGAAAAGCGATTACGAATCCCAAACGAAATACGGGTGGACTCGCGCTTACAACGAAATTCAAGGGACCAGAACATTTTTTTTGTTGAGAACCTGTGTAACATGGGGAGAGAACCCTATGGGACCGCACAAAAAATGTTATGCAAAGAAAATCGTTGTGGACAAGATCGTTGACGAGGGTGCAGTCCACTTGTACAGTAATGTATTATGACCGAGTCTTCTTATTCTTTTCGGAACTTCTTGTGAAGGTTTAATGCTAGAAAGTCATCTCCCGGTTCTAACGGAGGGAGATCTATGACCAAGTAAAGCAGGCGATATGCATTTTTGAATGGAAACTTTTAACGAGAACTCAAGTCCTGGCAGTTCATGGAGAATTGCGTAATAAATATAACGAGTATAAGTTCGGTAGAGGCAACTTAGTTCTCACTTTGAACCTTCAATGCCACCTTGTGGAACGTGGGGATATATTTATATCTCATGAGTTATGGCACTTATGAGGCACTATTTTTAAGCGTCGTATACGTGAGACCATTGCGCTGGGAACACACTCGTATCGTTCATGAGGAAAAGGACAGTACAGCATTCACGAATTGCTGAGTACAGTAAACGAAATTTTTCTTGTTGAAAAAATCTGGGGCCTTCTCCAGATCATTATACATTACAAGGTAAAAGTAACTTCTGAACCTAACTCGACGTAAAATATTTATGTCGTACGCTAGCCGTAGCGAACGTGCGGAAACCGAATCGTGTTCGTAATTTGAGAGAATATGTGTCTTGTAGTGTTTATGTAGCTCGGTGGAGTTGAGTTGCATCGAATGACTGTCGCGCTTATGGGAAGTGAGGCGTTTCTTACGCCTCGCTGGTCTTCCTATTAGACGAACTGGTTCACCGAAAAAGCAGTTCTTCTGAGCAGGCACTAGTTCATCTCGAGCTTTCGTGTCGTGTGCCTGTTCGCCTGTCGTACTGATTTGTTTGGTCGGGTTTTTATCCTATTTGCCCAGCGATTTTGAAATTGTAAACGTTTCTTGTTTGCGCAGGATTATTCACACTGTAATTCTCAGTTCTCGCGATGGTGCAACGGGACAATCCGTGCTTTGTATCAGGTTTTCACGAGTCCCCGAATCCTAGTGGACTGAAGTATAATGAATTGAAAAATACAAATATGTTTGTATCCGAACTCGGGTTCGGTTGCGCCCCTCTTGGAGGCATATACGGGAATTTTGCGGAAGAAGAGGCCATTGCCACAGTTCGGGATGCCGTGAAAGCAGGGATCAACTTTTTCGACACTGCTCCGTATTACGGTGTGGGCAAATCCGAGGCCGTATTGGGTGCTGTAAGTTTTGAGAACAAATTGCAGTGTGCAGTATTGGCAGTACGGCATCTTCTTCCATATTACGGTATCCTACTTGATTTCCATGATATACCGTATTTACTGGAGTACAACGCGCACCTTTTTTCTCAAAATTTGGAGGGATAAAGGATGGTGCTCGTTGTATGAAGTGTGTATTGTGAACAAACTTTTATTAGTTCAGGTGTGTGTCATAACTGATTCAAGTGAGACGTTTTGGACCCATTTCTACGGGAAAATTTCTAAGATGGTCAAGAGTTTAAACTTTAATTTCAAGGCAAAATTGAAATTTTGGCGTGTATTTGTTTTAATTTCAAATATTCAGCCCATAAAAATGTGGAGCGCATCTTACTTGGGGATATGATTTTATAAATTGCACAATGAAAAATCTGGGTGCCTGTCTTACTTCAGGGCGCGTGGTGCATGAGTAAATACGGTATATCTGTGGTATTATCACTTGTAATAATTCTGACTTTCACCATTAAAAAATATCAGATTAAGTTCATATACGATAAATACTAATACATTTTGCGGATGCATCTTCAAATTAAGCCACTGTACCTTGGCAGCTAAAATGATCGTATCCACAAAATTTTTGTTGACCGTCAAACAAAATCGTGAAAATGAAATAAGCATTTTCCGGTTGTTCTAATCATCCTTCTCTCGTGATTGTTTTATTTACTGGCAGGCACATCAGTGGCACTACAGTATAATTTTACATGCACTGTGTTTCATGCGGCCAACGTACACGAATAAGTGTACGTCAGTACAGACACGATACTCACATTGAACCTTATCTCGATGTACTATGGCAGTAATACCCCGGAGTAGATGCCGTTCTACGTTTTAAAAAATGCGATAAGCACATTTTTGGTCAATTTTTTTATAGGCTCTGAAGGATATTCCGAGGGATGCGTATTACTTGGCTACGAAAGTGGGAAGGTACGATTATAAGTCGTTCGATTACTCGGCCGAAAGAGTGTTCAGAAGCGTGAAAGAAAGCATGGCGAAACTAAACGTAGATTACATCGACTTGATACAGGTAAAAGTTTTGAAAAAATAAAAGACGGGTGGCTGAGTAAAAGATCGATATTCAGGTACACGATTTCGAGTTCGCCAGAAATGCGGAGGTGATCGTCAATGAAACTTTGCCTGCCTTAGAAAAACTTCGTAGGGATGGCCTCGTGGGGTACATTGGAATCAACGCGTATCCCATCAGCAGCACGTGGGAAGTTCTGGAGAAGAATAGAAATTGTCGCATCGACACGATTTTGACGTATTGTCGATGGAACTTTTTCGATCGCACGCTTGATGACTACATAGATCGCCTCAAGGTTTAATTTTCACAATTTTTGTTGGCGTAATTAAATGAGGTTCAGAATTACCAATAATTTTGGTAGGAGAAAAACGTGGGAATTATCAACGCCGCCATTTTGGGGATGGGTTTGCTCACGAAGGATTCAACTTTCCCTGAATGGCATCCTGCTCCGAAGGAGTTGCAGGAGTTCTGCAGAAGTGCTGCCAAGTTTTGCTCGGTATGCCTGAAAAACAAAAAATATTTTTGCTGCATTTAAAAAATGATTGATTGCTTATAAACGAAGGAGAAGCCGTTTGATTTGGGCCAATTGGCGATTGCGGACGCGCGGTCCCATCCCGACATTGCCACGCATTTGGTGGGGATGCAGAATCGAACGATGCTGAAAGAGAATTTGCTGGCCTTCACCAGGCAAATTAGTCCCGCCGAGAAAGACCTGGTGACCGAAGTGGATGCCTTGTGAGTTGCGAGGCCTAGAATGGTAGTCGAATTTTGAGCATTGTGCCAGTCGGGATGTTATTTCAGGTTCAAGACGAGGTTTCCTGAGCAAAGGGTGAATTGGGAACATGTTACGGACGAGTTGAAAGAAGAGATCTACGGCACTGATGTTTGACATTTGGGGAAATACATCTTGCGAAACTCGAACACGAATTAGGTCTTCTGTATCTCTTATGACCATGGATCTGCACTGCGTGACCGAAACTTCGTTTGCAAAACTTTCAGCGATCAACTTTTTCAACAATAGTGTTCGTGTGCCTCAGCTGTATTTTTATTTATTTTTTCACGCGGAAGAACATGGGCCATGCCTGTTCTAATATGTGATCTGCGTTGATCGACTTCGTGTGACACCGATTATCACTACATAAAGAAAGTTCTTCCGCGAGGAGAAAATAAGGTGATCGACATGACTTGACCTTCTTTGTCCAAGTGTGTCCAAGTATATGCCACTGGCAGTGGAAAAAATATGTATATTTTACTCATTGACTGATCACGTTCTATCGACATCATGGATTTTCCTGTTCATATGAGCTAGGCCGAAGAATGCTATACAGTACAAATGAGATTTGGGGAAATACATCTTGCGAAACTCGAACACGAATTAGGTCTTCTGTATCTCTTATGACCATGGATCTGTACTGCGTGACCGAAACTTCGTTTGCAAAACTTTCAGTGATCAACTTTTTCCCCAATTGGGGATTTGGGGAAATCGGCGTGAAAAAGGGTGAATTGGGAACATGTTACGGACGAGTTGAAAGAAGAGATCTACGGCACTGATGTTTGAGATTTGGGGAAATACATCTTGCGAAACTCGAACACGAATTAGGTCTTCTGTATCTCTTATGACCATGGATCTGTACTGCGTGACCGAAACTTCGTTTGCAAAACTTTCAGTGATCAACTTTTTCAACAATAGTGTTCGTGTGCCTCAGCTGTATTTTTTTTATTTTGCACGCGGAAGAACATGGGCCATGCCTGTGTTAATTTGTGATCAGCGTTGATCGAGTTCGTGTGACACCGATTATCACTACATAAAGAAAGTTCTTCTGCGAGGAGAAAATAAGGTGATCGACATGACTTGACCTTCTTTGTCCAAGTATTCTAAGTTTGTCCAAGTATATGCCACTGGCAGTGGAAAAAATATGTATATTTTACTCATTGACTGATCACGTTCTATCAACATCATGGATTTTCCTGTTCATATGAGCTAGGCCGAAGAATGCTATACAGTACAAATGTCCAAGTATATGCCACTGGCAGTGGAAAAAATATGTATATTTTACTCATTGACTGATCACGTTCTATCGACATCATGGATTTTCCTGTTCATATGAGCTAGGCCGAAGAATGCTATACAGTACAAGTACTTCACAAGTGTATTAGTTGATCCGGTTCTGGACTTGCTTTGTTCTAAACATCAGGAAGAAGGATGCAAAAATAGCTTTAAACCTAGAATGGTGAATTACTTCTTAGAAAACTTTTTTTTGTGGAACATTTGTGTGATGAGAATTTTGAGAAAACAAAGGAAAGTTTTGCAACGTTCCAGGAAAATTTCTTCATCAGTTACTACCTATTAAGAAAATATCCTGCGAAAAAAATATTCTCGGTTTCCTTTCACAAATCAACATAATTGACGACATCTACCAAAATACGGCACGCCTTCGCACGTACTTCAGAAATACGGCATAAGAATTACAGCGAATCAGTTGCCCCAGACCTTGCAGAAAACAGCACGCAACAGGGTTCTCTACCCATTTTGTAGTGGTTATCCCAACAAATTTTTTTTCTGGTCCCCTGAATTTTGTTGTAGAGTCCACCCTATCAAGTACAGTACAGTAATTCGACCTTTGCAAAAAGTGACGTCCCACAACGCTGATTTTTTAAAATAACGCTCTCAGATAATTTTTTTGAATAACTGTGAGACTTTGATGGTGTAATTATTTAGCCAGCATTCCCATCAACTATCTTTCTGACATGTGACACACATTTTGTGCACATCAGTTTTGGCCGCGTCTTGTTGAATTCTTTCGTATTGAAATGTCCCTCTCCATTTTCAGCCCTAACGTCTTTGGCGGCCAACGGAGTTGAGTTGTCGCGAGATCAGTGGATCAAAGACGCCATCGAAGCGGAAAAGGCAGGTTCCGTGCTCACCTGTCAAGCAATCACCAAACACGTAATCGGAATCGATGTTGAAGAAGAAGACAAGAAAGACACTTGGCTGGAAGACGCTGACCAATGCGCCACAGAAGGTGCAATCGAATGCGCCCGAGCCGTGTACGCCCACGCTCTATCAGTCTTCCCGACGAAGAAGAGTATTTGGACGAGAGCAGCTTACTTCGAGAAGCAACACGGAACCCGGGAAACCCTGGAACTATTGCTCGACAAAGCAGTGGAAAGTTGTCCGAAGGCTGAAGTGCTTTGGTTGATGGGGGCCAAGTCCAAGTGGATGGCTGGGGATGTTCAGGCGGCCAGGAGTCAGTTGTCGCGAGCATTCAGGGCTAATCCAAACGCGGAAGAGATCTGGCTTGCGGCTGTCAAGTTGGAGAGCGAGAATAACGAGTATGACCGAGCGAGGAAGCTGCTTTTTAAAGCCCGCACATCCGCCCCGACTGCCCGTGTATTGATGAAATCTGCAAAATTGGAGTGGTCACTGGGAAACCTCGACGGTGCGCTCGAGTTGGTGGAAGAAGGTCTGAAGCAGTTTCCAGATTTCCCGAAATTGCACATGATGCGGGGACAGATTCACTATTGTCAGAAAAACCTTGCTGGTGCGAGAGAAGCTTACGGAGAAGCTGTGAGTACAAGCGACTGAAGGCTTTTGCACTTTTTAAACCACTAAGAACTGCTTTTTCAGAAATGATTTTTTTATCATTTTGAGTTGTATTATGTCAATTTGATTCAGATTTGACTGTCGACATGATTTCCAGATAAATTATAAATTTCTTAGTCGGAAATATGGCCAGGCAAGAACCTCATAGCTTCGAGTAAGTCATGGACTGGAAGGGCCAATATTTTGTTTCTGGTAATCATCTTAGAGACATATACGTTCATTTTAAGAAGGTATCCCCTGAATGAACTGACTGAAGAGCTATCCCAAAATTCAAACACCAAAGATGGAAAACAAAGCAAAAATTAGTCCCTAGAAATATCTTTTTTTGAAAGCTTGTTCGTGCTTGCAAGCTCATCAATAATCAGTGGGCAAACCCCAAAATAGCTAACCCTGCAACAATAGATGGGGAGACAACTAGATAAATTTCACCCGCAAGTGTTGATTATTTTGGCAAAGAAATCATCATAATCATGGAGACTTGTAATGAGATGTTATGCGACACGCATTTACTTTAAAAAGTGCGCCGTCGTAGAAATGGAGTAGAAGAAAGAAATTCTTCGAGCAAAAATTTGACTTTCGTTTCCATGCCGTTTGTGCGTTAGGTGAAGAAATGCACGACGTGTGTGCCGTTGTGGTTGCTGTCATCGAGACTGGAGGAATCCTGCGGAAATTTGACCAAGGCACGATCGATAATTGAGAAAGCGAGATTGCGAAACCCGCAAAATCCTGAACTGTGGTTGGAAGCCGTTCGAATCGAACGAAGAGCCGGATTTACTGATATCGCTAATGCTATGATGGCACGAGGTAAAACGTTTTACCGAGTTTTCCTTCATTCTTGAGAGTGTGGCTAGAAATGTTTTCTTCTTCTCAGCCATGCAAGAATGCCCTAATTCTGGATTATTGTGGGCGGAAGCGATTTTCATGGAGCCTCGTCCGCAGAGAAAGACGAAAAGCGTTGATGCCATGAAGAAATGTGATCACGATCCTCATGTACTGCTTGCTGTTTCCAAGTAAGAAATTTATTTATTTTAAAACTTGTATTCATTGGAGCGTTTTTCTAATTAAAACACAGTTTTTTCATTATATGTTCGACTTGACCCTGTATATTGAGTGGAAGTATCTTTTTCCACGGATAAATTGTAAATGGATCTTAACGTAACTCCCCGTGCGTTCAGTTATTGTGTCCGCATAGTTGCAGTGCGACATCTATGCAGTGAATGCAGTACTGTAAAGTAAATATTTTGAATGCTGGGAAATTTCGTGTATGACTCGTTTTAGTCGGCTTTCAAGAATCCATTCGAAGAACAACGCTAATTCTAATGTAAAAAAATTTGCTTTTTAATTTGTTTTTCAGGTTGTTTTGGGCAGAGCGTGCGATCACGAAATGCCGAGAGTGGTTCGGAAGAGTTGTCAAGTTGGACCCGGATTTCGGCGATGCATGGGCTCACTGGTACGCATTCGAACTGCAGCACGGGAATTTGGAATTTCAGGCTGAGGTGATGAAGCGTTGTCTGGAAGCTGAGCCGAGACATGGCGAGGAGTGGTGCAAAGTTGCGAAGGACATGAAGAATTGGTGTTTGAAACCTAACGAAATTCTCCCGATCGTGGCGGGAAAGCTAGTCGCACCTGTTTGAAAATTTTTAGTTCAATTTAATCTAGTTTTTTTTTCATTCTGTTTTCTGTTGTTGATATTTTACCGATTTTGAAATGAACGCTCGTGGATGAACGAATTGCACCTGAGTTTCACGGAATGTGAGTGCTTCTTCTGAAACGGTATCGTAGCTGTGAATTTGATAAAGGCGAGCTCATCGCCCTCTTGCAGAAAGTACCTCCGAAGAATCACGAAACTGAATTTTCGGAGGAATACATGTACTGTACAGTACTACAGTATGGTGCGTGATTACCATGCGTTTTATAAATATGAATTATGTAAGCCCTCCAAGAGTCTCAGGCGTCTATTTGATTTAAGCCGAAACCAACTTCAACCGGAAATTCCTCGATCGTTTTTCAGAGCAGCACATTTTTTATGATTTAATCGATGGTAAGAAATTAAAAGTGGATTTGGGAACGTTCCACTAGTTACTGTATTTATTTATTTTATTTTGAAGACCATTATCGTGTGCGCGTCATATAAATCATGAGAAACCTTTTTTCATGCATCGAACGCTTCAGCGGCCTTATAAGCTATGGAACAACAAATATCGTCGAAAAATCATCAATATTATGAAGCACATACCGCATATAAGGACAATATCATTATAACAAGAAAGCATTCCTGTGTAGATGCGCTGAACTCGTATGCAGTAGGCTATCTTTTGATATCGCCGATAGATGTCACGATGTTAAGAATGAAAAAAGATAGGTATGGACGTGGATGACTCAGAAGTCAGAATCCTACTCAAGACTAGGCTATTTTGTTCTGGCCAGTGGATAAATGGAAGACCAGCACGTGGTGTCATTAAAAATGACCGAAATCATCTCAAGTGACGAAAATTGAAGTTCGTTATCAATGCGAAGTCTCGAAGATGAAACGCGACATGGTGCATAGCAGTGAAGGCATTTCATGATGTCTCTCATATGAGACTTAGACCATGAACGGTCATGCCTGATCTGGGTTTTTTTAAGATGCAAATTTTATTGTAACGAAGCACAAAACGTTATTTTTCTGATGGTGAACTATTGAAAAATACCGACACCTGTCAAATTGAGTTTAAATCAAGAACATCGACTGGGTTGGGTTTCAAAATTTTATTTAATTTCTATGATTGTTCATCAATAAGTGAACATGCATGCTGGTATGATGCGATCAGCAACCCGATCGTTCTTCGCAAAACCTTGCATCAACCAAATTAAGGAAGTCTTCTGTGATACACGCATTTCGTCATTTACTGGCATTCATGAGAAGTTCCTGCATTAAGCTCCAGATCCTGCTCAGCTTGCTTTTAATAATGTCTTGATTCGGTTGTGAAACGGTGGGCGGCGAAGCTCGTGTTACACAAAATGGAAAGCTGGAATTCCACTCTCCAAAAGTTTGACACTGAATCACGCTGCTTCCGTTGAGAACGTAACCAGAATCGCAGAAGAAAGTGGCGGTCGAGTTTGCATTCAAACTGGTGTGAAGTGAGTATCCATTTGAAATACTCGTAGGTGTGCTACATTGTACCACTTTCTCGATTAACACCGCATTCATGTCGTCGAAGCTGCTTTGAAACGCCTTGGTCGCTTGAGCGAAAGAACGGTCCCCGGTGACGTGCAGATCAAAGTAGCATTCCTCATTGTCTCCACAAATGGATTCCGAGTAGGCATCTTTAACTGGCTTTTTCAGATAGGGAACATAAGCATCATCGTTGTACAATCTGTAATTTGTCCCCGGTTTGTAATACATGAACGATTCTTCCCGGGGAACTCTCCAGGTCAAACCGAAATCATAATGGACAGCAGTCAAATTTGAATGCTCTACGTATGCGCCCGAAGAACTGAGCAGATCATTAGATGAGTCATTGCCAATGAATGTTCCGGCCAGACCTTTTATTTTCCCCCTCAACGAGTCTCCAGCCAGAAGGATAATTTGAAGTGCTCCAGCACTTACAGGCGTTGACCGCACAGCGAATTCCGGAGTGGTTATTACTACTCCTTTTCCAAGTAATACATCATCAAACTGCCTGACAGAAGACGCATCATCGATTCGAAACTCACTGATATTCTGCAGGTTCACCAAGTTTCCATCTACTCTAACGTCCAAACCAGATGAGTAAGACGTTGATGCGTTTTCTGCTGCCTCTATGAAAACGCTGGAAGAATTCTGGCATTGCAGTCCCACTGCAGTGAAAACAGTGGCTGACATCGAAGTATTTTGGCGGAGGAATCCCAATCTGACAATCACGCTGCAATTGACGCTCTTCAAGTGATAGAATTCGCCGAAACCGTTGAATGTGTATTTCGTGCCTATGATTGTCTGGAAATGTGGATCTCCTTTGCCATTCGCGCTTCGAAAGCCCACATATCGCTGCCCACAGTCATTGGGTTTTTGTTGACGATATTTTCGACATTTTCCCCCGTCTTCACTTTCAAATTTACCATAAGGACAGCATGAATAATAGGACGCGACGTCTTCTTCTAGATAATACCAGTAATTCTGCTGTGGATTTCCGTATCTCGGAGCGGCTCCAGCGATTCCGCACTGCAAGTTACCAGAGGCGTAACAACAAGACTGGGATTTTCCTCCGAATTCTAGGAATACTGACCGATAGCAAGCATCGTTGCCAGAGAACTGTTCTTCCAATCGGTCATCGCGGACGAAGAAAGGATCCATTTGGGCTTGCGTATGCAACGGAGGACAAGGAATCAAGCTCACCGCTCTTGCTGTTACGCTTTTTGGAAGCCAACTCTGGGTACAGTAAGTCGTTCCTGAGTGCGTGAACAACCTTAATACCGTCTCTGGGAGTGCGAACAGTCTCATCCGTTTCTGCTTCAAAAGTACTTCTTCTGTGATAGCGGACGGTCGCACCGAAATCGACATTATAAGGGCATCTGTAGTGAAAGCACTTTGAGTGAAGTTGAGTGTTGCAGACCCATTGTTGGGTTGGTTTTTCAGGAGCGTTTTCGGACTATCGAACTTTCCCTCGAAATGCAGGTCAATGTTAACTTGAACCGAAGAAATGAGTTCCCGCGGCCATTTGACGACTGCTAAATTATTCGATATTTTTTCCACAGAGATGAGAGGGCTTGGAAGCCCATTTACAAATATGTTGTGATCAAAAGTGTAACATTTTCCGTCGTGAATAACTTGAACCGTAAGTTTTGTCCACCCTGCCTGTGTCATTGATGGAGAAATGCAAAGAACCTTGCGTAACCCCCTCAAAGGCATTCCGGACGTTGAAGATGTATCTTTGGCACCGCTGAACGTGCAAGAGATGGAATTAATTTTTCCTGGGTCATACTGGTCGCCGTACTTCATGATGACAAATTCCGCTCCTAAAAATGTGACGACCTTACTTTCCAAGGATGTGTCAACGCGTCCAAAGACGCAACCGGAAGAATCAGTTGAAGTTCGTGCTGGAAGTGCCGTCGTAGTCGTTTCTGGAATATTTGTCGTGGAGGTCGATGTAATCCTGGAAGTTGAAGCTGGTGATAAGGAGGTCGATGTGATACTGGAAGTTGAAGTTGTTGATGTGGATGGAATCGCAGGTGACGTTGAGCTTGATGTTGAAGCTGCTGTTATTGATGAGGTCGTCGCTGAGGATGCAGTTGTTTTTCCTTCAGTTGTGGTGGTGGATTGCTGCGTTGTAGATGTTGTCTCACTTTTATAAGGAATCCTGGTTGATGAGGTGGTAGTTTCTGCGTCATCCGTCAAACTAGATGTCATACTCACATCAACTTCCAAGGGTACTTCTGTCCCGCGACTGGACGAATTCGTCATGTCTGTTGCGATAGAAGTAGACATGATCGCTTCCGCTGACGAAATCACAGTTGAATTTTGCGGCGTGAATATTTCGGAGGTCTCCTTCGGTGATTCAGAGGTCGTAGGCAAATCAATGAGTTGTTCCGCCGACGACTCAGTCAAGATCGTAGATGGCTGTGTTTCAGTAACGTCGATAAAAACAGCGGACGTGGCAATCTTTTTAGTCGTCGATCGCTGGGTTGTATCAGTTGTCTCGGCAAAGATCGGGCTAACAGACGTGAGAGTCGATGCGAATTCTGACGTGATGACTGTTTCAAGTGCTGTTGAAGATGGCTCTCGAACTTCCGAAGTTGTTGCAGAAATTTTCGAATCTGAGGCGGTATATGTTAGAGAGAAAGTTTTCGGTGATGTTGCCGTCATTTGCTGATGACTCGTTTCGTCGTCGTGGATCCTATCAGTGAAATGAGTGTCGTACCAAGTCGTTGAATCTGGCGATCCCGAAGCAGCAGCTGCTGAGGGTTCTGTCGTAGAGAAAGATTCGTCCACAGTGCTTTTAGAAGTCTCTGACGCCGTTGATGCTGTCGAAGTCATTGTGGCTGTGTAAGATACCTCGACGCTGTTTAAAGCTGATGATGATACCCTTCCACTAGCTGTCAAAATCTCTGTAGTTTGAGGGATATTTTCCGATGATGACTTCAGCTGCTCTATTATTGAGGAGTAATCGTCTGTTGAAAGAGTGGATTGCACTGTCGACAAGCGTGTGCTGCTTGTATCAGACGTCAAGTCCCCAAAAGTACTTGACAAAAAGCTATCGACTTCATTTGGCCTCGTGGAAATGGGAGAAACTGTTGATGTACTTGACAGAAAAGCAGGCTCGTCAGTTATCTTTAATGAACTTGTTAATTTTCCATTGGATGAGCTTATAATTTTAGTATTACCATCTTCTGTTATTGATGTGTCCAAAGTAGATTGCTCTGTTGACAAACGTCCTTTGCTTTCAGTACCCTCTGTCGATTCAGAGCTTTTAAAATCGGACGAAACGTGATCAGTTGATGCTATTGACTTGGAATCTTCGGAAATTGCGGATTCTCGAGAGCTTTTGAATTCAATTGTTGCTGCTGCCGCTGATGAACTACTTTCAAAGGTGTTGGAAGCCGATTTCAGATCTTTCGAAACGTCTGCGTATGAATAAGAGTTGTTTGTGCTGCTTGTATCAGACGTCGAGTCTCCAGCAGTAAAAGTACTCGATGAGCTACCAACTTCATTGAGCTTTGTTGAAATCGGAGAAATCGTTGATGTACTCGACGTAAATGCTGGCTCATCATCAGTCATATTGAAGGAACTTGCCGT